ATGCTTGATGGTATTTTGCAAGTGTAAATGCTTACTGCAATTTTGCTAATTCATAAAGCTTCATAAACATCACACCAATCTATTCATGATAATTTTTAAGCCTTTGATTCAGAAACCATCAGCTTTAGATATTTCAAGCAGTGTTTGAGGGAAACTCTTGAAGTGATGATCTCTAGCAATTGGCCTCCACCATTGTGATGAGTTGGTTTGTCCCTCAGCCTTTGTGATGGTCCTCAAATACTCTGTTAACTGTAAACCCTTGCCTTAAGGACGGACCGCCAGTTTCATTTTACTGAATTCTACAGGAATATTCCATTCCAACAAAGCCATTTCCTAGCCCTCCTCAGGAAATATTCAGGATTGACTCTGAGATAGAAATATTCTGAGATAAATTGAGATCAGGTATGTTGATTGACCAGCCAATCAACAAGTATTTATTGACTACTGTTCACAGTAGTTGAATTAGACCTAAAGAGAATATAGTACAAGAAGATGGATCCCCTAAAACTTTGCACAGCCACAGGAAAGGCTAATTCCAGAGCAGCAGAAGGTTAGAGCTGAATGAACAGTGTTAGTGGGGCTATCATGGTGTAGCAGGAAGTTAAAGGACACTTTTGCTAAAAAGTTTTGACTACTTGTTTGGGCCCATGGATGAACTGGAAGTAGAGTATAAACAAAGCATCCTGTCTTCCATTTTGTAGTTTTGTCCTGTAGTCACTTTGCAATCATCTTGGAATACAGGCAGGATTAGACAGGAGACAAAGACCACCTTCCAGGCAGCAATGACTCTTGTTGTAATGAGGCCCCACCTGACCTCCCTGAGACAATGAGCAACCACACTACCTGTGGCCACAGGAACATACCTATGATGGGGACATCTAAAGATTATGCACACCTTTCTCCCTTTCCCCAGTTCTTCCTCCTATTTAAGCCTAAAGCAGGTGTGTGTCTGTGCTGGGGAGACAGGGTGAAATGTGTACCTTTCCTTCTCTCAAGTCCTTTCCTGCCCTTCGCCATTACTCTTCATTTGGTGTTTTGGGGCATGTGGCCAGATCTGACCCATGGAATCCAGGAGTTTAGGATGGGGCCTAAAATCTTTTGCCATAATGGGTCTCCAGTGACTCGCTCTGGCCCGCAGGGATGAGATGACCAGCCATCCTCTCAGAGAAAATGGGGACAGGGAGTGAGAGGGAGGGGAGAAAAATAAAACCATATGAGAGCTGAGGAGAATCACTTGTGTTTGAGAGGAAAACAGAAAATCTGCAAAAGCTATAAATCTGGTTTTGTGCATAGTGACTGTGACTACAGTCCCAGTATGGATAAGATTAGCCTTGACTCACGTGGATTTGACACGACCCATTTGCAAAGGTGAAGCACACTCAAGTCATCCATTCTTGGTTCTGTTTGGCTCCACTGAGAATCCCAGAAAATGCAGTCATGGCTGGCCCAAGTGGAACTACCTTCTATTCTCAAGAGTATTCCCCGAGGTTAACGCCCGCCATGATCTACAGCTCAGTCGATGAGAAATGACCACTGTTTGCAATAAGGAATTTGTACTAATTGACAAAGCTGGTCATCATCCCTCTCAGATGAATAGATCTGAGAGGCTCATAAATTGTTCTGGTAAAAAACAAAATGTAGGGTTTTTCCTGTACCTCAGTTCCAGATAACTAGGTTCATCTAGCCCAGGTGGTGTTAGAAAATCATAAATCACATTTCTTATTGCTGTTCCTGGCGGGGCAGTGTCCTGACGTGTTCCTTTTGGTGTGCCACAATCAGGACATTTGTGATAATGTAATGAGTGTGCGAATGCAAGCTGAGGTAAAGAAAACTGAACTTGAATGAAGTTCTCAGTAAAAGCCTGGCTTTCTGAAGGAGCATCTGTTGCTTTTGTCTGACCAGCAGTTCTCCTTGATGATAGAAGACAGTGGCCTCGAGGTTCATTTGTTCAATTACCTCTTGTCATTCCTTGGACTCGTGGGGTTGCCAATCAAGGTTCTTGCTCCTTGGGTGAATTTCAATTTTGATAGGGGGGCAATGATGAGAAGTATTTGGAGATGACGGGTAGAGTGACAGCCTCCTGTGAAAACTGCCCATTAGTTCCCACTCCTCAGGGCCCCTGAATTGTGTCCTGATGGATTTGTCTGTCCAGGGGTGTGAGTGGTGAAACCTCCTCACACTGTGAGCTCACATCTTGCCATTTTCTATTCTTCTTCTCCTTGTTATTTTAAAACTTAGCTAGAGATGACTTTGTGTGTGTGTAGCTTCCTATCAAAGGGAATTGGTAGATCCTCCATGTTTTAACTTCCAACCACAACCTTAGAGATGGGAAAGCTCAAATTGAACATCCTTTGTAGGAAGCAGGGGAGACCACATGGCCAATACCTCTCCAGTGCTGATTTTAGTGTGGTTGATTTTAGGGAGAGCCGAGGTGAAGGGAGGGTCCAGGTGAGAGAACAAAGAGAAGGGCAGTCTGTTCTCCAAGGAATGATCCCTGACACCAGTCATAACAGTGAACACTAGGACAGATCACAACAGATATCACTGTGAATTAATTTTGGTACATTTGTTTCTTATGGTAAACACCTATTTTCAATTACACACACACACACAAACCCCAAAACTACACCAAACCAAAACAACCACCCCCCCAAAAAAAAATTTGTCCCCAGAAGTTGTGTATTAGGCTTCTGAGCTGAAAACAAGGCCATCTGATCCTGTACCAGAGTTCTTTTCTGTTTTCTTCCTTCCATTAACTGACCCCTCCAGTTGAGTTGTTCCAAATGACATACCTTGAAAGGCTCTGAACTACTCACATGGACTCTGCCCTTGGTATCAGAGAGACATTAAAGACCTGCTATTTCTCAAGTAGGAAAATTTATAATCCATTTAAAAGTTTTTGTCCCATAAAGTATGTATTATATACAGCACAAACATGGATTCTTGAAAAAAGTCCACTGGAGTCTATAAAATCTCTTTTGCCCAAAGCACATTCGTCTGGGGCAAGTGGGGACTGGGTGGAGAGGAAGTGCAGGTTTGCCAGAGGAATGAAGTTCCTCTTCCTGGAAAAGTAGCTGGCAGAACCAAGAAGCCAGTCTTTTTAATCAAGGGAAGATCTTAACAGACTTGGAGGCAGAAAAGAAAGGTGTGCAGAGATGAAAGGACTGACAGAGCCAGCTTCATGACACACGACCCTTATAGTCACCAGGACCCTTCATTTGGTTTAATACTCTGCTGCCACTGTCTTGAAATACTTCACATTTTTTGACTGGGGGCCTGTATTTTCGTTTTGTACTAGGCCAGGTAGATTGTGTCGCAGGTCCTGGGGAACTGACATCGGTGAAAGTGCTCTGAGAGGGTAAAGCACCCTTTGGTAGGCTGATAAATATCCCCTCCCCCCCCCCATAATGTCCTAATCTCTGGCTCTTGTGAATGTTACTCTGTATACAAAAGAGACTTTGCAGCTGTGCTCAAGTTAAGGCTTTTGAGATGGGAGATGACATGTGTGATTCCAATGTAATCATAGTGTTTATATGTGGGAAGCAGTAGAGTTTGGGCCAAAACCAAAACAAAACAAAAAAAACAAGAAAAGGAAGGCGTGTGACAACAGAGGCAGAGAATGAAGGAGAGGTGATAGTCAACACAAGGTTATGAGCCAAGGAATGCAGGTGGCCTCTAGCTGAAAAAGGCAAGGATACACAAGGTCTCCAAGAGCCTCCAAAAGGAAGGCAGCCCTGAAGATCCATTTTGGACTTCCTACCTCCCTGAGTCACATTGTCTTCTTCAGAGACTTAAGTTTGTGGCAATTTATTACAGCAGCAATGACAAATACACCCTACAGAAACAGGTGATGGAGTTTTGTAGAAATTAAGGATATTGTTACAGCAAATAGTAGTTACCAATTATTGAGCACTTCATAGGTTCGAGGCAGTACCCTAAATCATCATCTAAAGCAATCCTAGAACAGTATTTGAGGTGGGAGTTAGGGCCACATAACCAACCAGAATGTGCTAGATTTGGGATCCAGGTTTTTGTGTGCGTTCATCCCCATCTCCGTCTTTCCCTATATACTTTTGAGTTTGTCCTCGAGCTTTAAGGGTCATTCTATTTGCATGTGTCAATCAACACAGTAGGGTGGAGGGGGACGGGGCAGGAGATGCCACTCAAATGAAGGAGGTGCTGAAGTCACCTGGACAAGAGTCAGGAGACTTATGAAGGCTACAGAGTAGTGAAGGATGCACTTGGGACAAAGGTCCTGCCCGCTTCAGTCCGTACGTGACTAAGTCCTGGACGGATCCCGGCTCCTGGCCGCCGTGCGGTGACCGGGAGCGAGGACACGAGGCGGCCACAGGGCCGGACGCCCGGCGGCCACCAGCCTCGTTTCCCCGAGCAACCGAAGAGGGGCGTGGCCTCAGCCGGCCCACCCCAAGAAAGGGCGCCCCACTCCCCCGCCCACCCGCCCGTTCCCTGGTGTTTTGGTGCCCGCGTGGTCCCACCTCATTGGCCTCCGTGGAGCCCGGCCCCGGGGAGGCGGAGCGAGCTCCGCGGCTCTAGTTCGCCATTTGCTGGGCTGCAGACTCCGCCTTCCGACCGCAGGGGCCGCCGGGACCACAACTCCCAGAAGGCCGAGCGCCGGGGGCGTGTCCCCGACTGAGCACGCTGGGGGCGGGGCCGCCCGGGATGAAGCGGGGGCGCGCGGTGCTGCTGCCTCAGTCGCGGCTGCCGGGCGCGGGAGAACGTCCACGGTCTCCGGCCGGCGAGCAGACCTCTGCCCCTGGAGGCGCTCTGCCGCCGGGCACTGTCCCCTGGGGTCGTCGCCCGGGCCGCCGACCGTTCCCCGGCCCCGAGGGGCCCTGCCGGCCACGGTAGGGGAGGTCAGCATGAACCGAGGGGTTCTCCGGGCCGGTGCCGGGCAGGGGGCGGCGGCCGCAGTGCAGCTGCTGGTCACCCTGAGCTTCCTCCCGAGCGTCGTCGAGGCCCAGGTAAGCCCGAGTGAGACCGCCCGACACCCCTGCCCGACGCCCGCAGGGCCGCGGCGGTGGCGCCGAGAGGCCGGGGTGCCGGTGCGGAGCGGCAGAGACCGCTCCGGCAAGTGCGGGGAACGTCCGCGCACCCCTGCGTGCGCGGGGACGGCGACACTTGGGGGAATGGCGATCGAAAGAGGAAGATGGTGACGGTCGCCCGAGCTCTTCGCGTTTTTATCCTTGTGATGTTTTCGGTGGCTGGGAGTGTGGCGGGAGACAGGATGGGGACAAACGTCGGCTGGGCTGCGACACCCTTGTCTCGTGGGGAGACCGTGGGTCGGTGTCGCTCGGTGGCACCTAGCAGACGCCCCCGCCTAAGAGGAGTGGATTGGGAGGGGGACGAGACTTAGCTTCCTTGAACTTGTGCGCTAGGGGCTCCTCGGCTTTCCCCTGGCTCGGTACCCACCTGTCCTACGTCTGCTAAGTGACATCGCCAGGCTGACCCCGGGTGGAGACTGGGGGGTCTGAGTCCCGCCTGAAGTCGTAGGTGGAGTCTGGCTCCGGGCGTTAGAGTTTGGGGGTGTCTTTTGGGGGTGTCTGCCCCTAGCTGGCCAGAGCCTTTTCCCTCTAACAAGGCTGCTGCTGCGTTTTTCTAACCTAGAATTTGAATAGGCTGCCAGGTGCTGCTGTGTCTTATCTGCACCTGCTGCAAAGTGGCAGCATTGCTCAGAGCCAGAAGCAAGAAAAAGTGTCTCGGGTGGCCTGATAATGAGGGGAGATGCTCTTTGAAGCAATTAATGCTCATTGCGAAGAAAAAAATTGAGAGTAACTAGGAGTGTAACCGTGTAAACATGTTTTTCTGACTTTACTCAGACACTTTTCTCACGGCTTTATGGTGCCCACCACGAAATCCCAGGATGCCTGAATATTCCATCTGTGCCCGTGCTTGAATAGCTTTTAAGTGAATGGTTTGATAAAAATAGAAGCCACAAACTGTTGGTACGGGGAGCATGTTAAAAATGGAGACTCTGCCCTTCTTCCAGATGTACTGATGGAAGGGACCTGGAGCCCCTTCTGGATCAGCATTTCAAACAAGCCTTGCAAGTACAGTAATGCACAGTCTTTGGACTACCTCTTGGACCCCGCTTGGAAAAATGCCAAAATAGTAGAATTCTGAGCATACATACAGATGAGAGTTTGGAAAAGTAAATTTTCCAAATTTCCTTCAGCAAAATTATTTTCTAGTTACTAGTTGAGTGTTTTTGAGTGGAATTTACATTTAGCTATTTTTCTAAAATGAGAGTTCTCATTTTTCTTTTTACATGGCATATATTAATTGTAGACTTTATCATCAATCTAGAAGCTTCGCTTTGGTTTCTTCATCTACCACTAATTATGTATAATTAATGTGTTTACTTGCACCTGTACTTCTGATTTCCTTGCAGGCAAATCAATTATTAGATTTGTGAATGTTCATAGCAGCCTTGTCCCAAACAGTCTTCGAAAGTAGATATGTGGATTTTTTTGCTTCCAGTATACTTTTTATATATTTTAAAAATACTTTAGATAGTATTTTAACCTGTAACATGCTTAGTTATACAGTACCTCATTTTTTGGATACTTCTCTCAGAAGTGGGGCAGTTGTGACTGAAGTTCAGAGAGCTTACATTACTTAGTGACACTAAACTGGGGCCCTAATTCAGACCCCTTCTGCTCTATGCAGTGTATCAGTATATTTTCTTCTCTGTGTAGAAAAGCAGAAAATCAAAATGCAGAAGTAAATGAGTTCTTCCACTTCTTGCATGTACTGAATTGGTAGAAAAACAGCAAATGTGAAGGGAAGAGTTACAATTTTTGAAAAATACCCCTATTCACAAGAAATCAGTCACTTTTAAAGAAATAAGCAATTTGCTTTCCTTGAAATGAAAGTAGGAAAACATTTTTGAGCACATGAAATGATGTTCATTTGCATATCCTGTGCTTCATTTTCTTATAAATGAAATGCAAATATGATTTGTGGTGTGGTGAAGCGCTAGGAACTAAAGACATGGTGCATACAAGTGATACAAGAATCTTCTAGTAAAAAGTAATTTCAGTCAGATATATTTGAATCCTTCTCAATACCTTCCTGAGGTGGCATGAAATCAAGAAATACACAAATGAAAGCCAGAGTCTTGGGACTCTTAGTATCAAACCACAGACTTTGAACTTCTCCTTTAACAGCTGTATGGGGTGGAGTGGGCCAGAAGTGATATCCGTGTCTTCCAGGAGAGGAATCTGGCCAGAGACCAGTCCATAAAGCCTGGACTCCAGCTACATCCTTGATGCAAAGGTGAATGGGAAATGAATCCTACAAATAAGAGGAAAGTAAAGAAATTGGCTGGAGGAGGGGGGGAAACTCTTGAGAATTTGTAGCCAGGAGCCAGCCCTTACACAGGTTCCTATGCCAACTTTGTGCCACTTGTGCTCGGATAAGCATCAAGGGGAAAATTTAACTTATAGCAATCCCAGGTTGTATCCCTCAGCTCACCAGAAAAAGCAAATCCATCCTCTCTAGAGAAACTTATTTTCAACTCAAGCCTAAAGAATTCTCAAAGATAAAGTGCCAAGAAGATGAACAGCAGGAAAAGAATAAAGATAAATTTAAAATCATAAAACCACAAGGACACAGGGCATGGATCAGATAAGGGTGGTTTAATACACAATTTGTGATTTTTCTACTTTACTCTGGTGCGAAAGATATATTCAATAGAAATACTCCACATGTTGTGTTTTGATCTTTTCCTGACTAGCTGTGTACTGTCAGTGCTGGGCTGGGACATTAAGAAACAAGTCTTTACCTCCAAATATGCTCTTCCCAAGATCTCTCCCTCTCACACACGTTTCAGCCAGACTGGCCACCTGTTGCTTCTCAGCCGTGGCCAGTGTGTTCTTGCCCCAAGGCCTTTGTGCTAGTTGTTTCCCTACCTAGCACACTCTCTTCTCATGTACTCCTGAGGTTTACTCTGTTTCTTAGTTTCTGCCAAAATGTCACTTTATCTGGTGTCTCTTCATCTAAAATGTGCTCATCCCTGACTACACAATATAAAAGAGAAATTCTTTCCTCTCCTGTACTCCATGTTTTTCTCACCCTTTGCTTACAACTCCCCATCGCTTCCTGTCTCAGTGTGGTTTAGAGGACAAAAATATCTTTGGTCTCTGTTTCTGATTCCTGGCACAGAGCTCTTCAAATGCTTGGAGTTTTGTAAGTGATAATAGTGCCTTTTGTCATTCATAACAGGCCCCTTTCAGTCACATTTGAGTTTATACTAATGAGATGACTTAGGACGAAGCGCCTGTATAGCTTCAGGATGACCAAATGACTCAAGTCTCAAACAACTGCACATGTTGAGCTTCTGCTCTGTGAACACATGGACTTGCAAGTGGGGTGACCTGCAGAAAGGGCACAGAAGCTTTGTACATGCCCAGCCCTCAAACCCTGCCCTATACTTCTCCTGTGCTTGGTTCCTCAGTCCTTCATAGTTTATTGGTAAAGGCAAAGTGTTTTTTCTGAGTTCTGTTAGCCATTCTACCAAGTGACTGAACCTTAAAAAGGGGTCCAGTGACCCTCCAATTTATAGCAAGTCAGTGAAAAGAGTGTCTGAAGTGAGGGCAGTCTTGTACTCTTAAGCTGTGGGTTTGCACCAATTCTGGATAGTTAGCATCAGAACTGAATTGTAGGGTTCCCAGTCCATCTCTGAGAGATGAGAATTGGTTGGTATGGAATGCACATTAGACTCAGTAAAAGCTAAAATCTTACAACGGTTTAGTTCTCTCCGTTTGGCACATTGTGTAGTCTTTTTTTTCTTTCTTTTTTTTTTTTTTTTTTTTTTTGGTGGTATTGAGCTTGAACTAGACCTCATGCTTGTTAGGCAGTCACTGTACCACTTGAGCCACTCTGCCAGCCCTTCTTTGTGATGGTTTTTTTCGAGGTGGGGTCTTGCATACCATTTGCCCCAGCTAGCTTTGAACTGAGATCCTCCTGATCTCTGCCTCTGGAGCAGCTAGGATTACAGGAGTGAGCCACAGGGGCTCCTGGCTTTCATAGTCCTTTTTATTTCTCAGAAACATGTGTAGGCTTCTTGCCTCAGGGCCTTTGCACTTTACATTCCTAGTTTTAATGCTTTCCCCCCAGATAGCTGCATCCTTGCTCCTTTCCCTCTAAGGTTTGCCAAAATTCCTGTGAGTCTTTTGCATCTACCCCACTTAAAATCATAGTGCTCCCCCCCCCCAGTTCTTCAAGCCTTCCTTCCATTCCCTAGATTTCTTCATGTCACTCATACTTTGCTCATTCATTTCCCCTATTTTCCTATGAGAGGGTTAGCTCCTTGATGGCAGAGAGGTTTGTCTGTTTTCCCTTCTAATTCTGTAGTACCCATGGGTAGAACAGTACAGAGCTTATGTTAGGCCTCAGTAAATATGCTGAATGAATGAATGAATAAATAAATAGTGGAAGATAAATACAAATAAATGATTCAGAAGAAACTCCAGACAGACAACAGGATAATTAATATTAAAGAGAACTCGAGAGACATGCAGATCTATGCATCTAATTGGGGTTCCCGAGACTATAACAGGTAGGGAAGCAGTACTAATCCCTAAGATCAGTGTGGGAAGCTAACGCATAGGGAAATTAACAAGCCATGCGTCCACATTTAACACAGTAGAAAATACAAACATCTTATAACATGATCATACTTCCTCGCCAGTGCAGGAAAAATCAGCTGGGTACAGTGGCTCGTGCCTGTAATCCTGGCTACTCAGGAGGATCAAGATTTGAGGCCAGCCTGGGCTAAAAGTTAGTGACACAAACTAGAAGTCAGCAGTTTAAGAAAAAAATCATGAGACAGACTAATTCTAGATAAAATATTTTTAAAACTTACAAAGTACTTTGGATTGTATTTTGATTTGTTTAAAACTATTGTTTAGGAGGTTAGAATTTGAAGTCTTTTAAGTAGTGAGACCAGTGGAATGAGACTCGGGAGTTAGTGACGAATCCAGGGAGCGGGATGGTAAAGCATAGAGTTCCATGGGCAAGATTCTTGATAACGATCCCTTGTTTTTTGTTTTTATTTACTTAGTGTGTGTACTAGGGTTTGACCTCAGGGCTTCAAGCTTGGTGCTTAACCACTCAAGCCATGCCTCCACCCCTGCCCATAAAATGTAAGCAGACACTGTATGTGGCTGTAAGAAATCACAGAGAGTGCTGCACACTCTGTGCAGTTGCCCCATGGTAATGTCTTGGGAACATACGGTGTAGTACTGCCCCAACAGGGTTCCCTGACTTAGTGTCCCACGTTCTGCTTGCTTCCTGTGTGTGTTGCTTCTGGACCGGGTTTCCAAGTGTAGCTTGGGTGTCTAGCACCACAGTGAGGATGCTGGGCAGTTTCTTCACTGCAAGGGTCTGTCCTGTTGGTATGTTTTATAACCATACTACCGTATTCCACTCCAGCTCCTCACTTGCCCCATCCCTAAACCCTGGCAACCAATTATCCTCTCCGTTCTAAAGTTTCATGTCAAAAGTTCTGCGAATGAAATCGTGTCCAATATAACCTTGGGATTGGCTTTTTTTCACTAAAGCTTGTTCCCAGAAGATTCATTCAAATTGTGCATGTCAGATCAAGTCCCGTTTTCAATTTAACCTGAAGAATTTTATGAAATTTTGGGGCTATGAATTCACTTTGTAAATGCCAATCTGTCTTCCCAAATTAATGGATACATTGAGTTGGCTAAAAGTGTGGATTTTAAAGCTTGATAGACTTAGAAATAAGTTCCATTTCTACTGTAGAAAATCTGTTTTAACCTTGCTAAACTAATTTTCTTACATGTAGCATGAGGATAACAATACTTTATTTATAGGATATTTTTAAAGAGTAAATTAAGTGACATAGTGTAGCTCTTAGCACCGTGCCTGTCTTAAGTATCCCACAATTGACAGCCTAAAAGAAAGATATAGTTGTTATAGCAACTATACGAAGTCCAGTCTGACTTGTAGGTTTGTCTGGGAAGATAGTGCTTGAACATACAGTGGCTGCTTACATTTTATATGTCCAGGCAGGAGAAGGAGGAGTCAGATCCTTCATTCTGAGCACTGATCAAGAATATTTAGTATTTCAGAATGAGTATATCTGAATTTATTCTTTAATTTCAGTGACCATAGCAAAAAGTAAGTTGCTTAACTGTTATCTTATTAGCAAATAACTGCCTAACTTGAACTTCTTATTTAATAGTATAGATTTGTTAAGACTAAAACATCAGTAATCTACATACTTTTAAATTTATGCATATGTAAATTCTAGGTGGCTGGAGTTCTGGACGATTGCTTGTGTGATATTGACAGCATTGATAACTTCAATACTTACAAAATCTTCCCCAAAATAAAAAAATTACAAGAGCAAGACTATTTCCGTTATTACAAGGTAAGGTAATTTTTAATTCAGTTGATGCTAAGGGTTTTTTATATAGCTGTCTGCAGGTGTAAATTTTGTGTCATTTGAAGTTACCAGCATGGTGAAATTTTGCCCAGTTTGTTCATCTCTGAGAATCTGAGTTTGAAGAACTCCTCCTCTTTCAGTTTTAGTTTTGAGAAAGACATTCCTCCCTTTACAGAAACTGAAAATGCCAGGAAGTTACTTTTTTAACCTTGTTTCGCATAGGTTCTGCCCTACTGGACACAGTCCCCAGGTTTCGGTTGTGCTGGCAGATGGTTAAATATGCCAGTTTTCTGCAGCTCAATCTACTGCAGTGGAGGAAGCTGGTCTTCTGTCAGAGACCAGCCCTTCTCTACTGGATCTGCCATACCCCTCACCCCTTCATGCCTCCATTTTGGATTGCATCTCTATTTCTGCATTCCTGCAAGGTTGGTCAATAGAGCACTCAAAGATTTGAATGAGTGACTGACTATTTCATTTACTCTTCAGGTCAAAATTTTGTTAGCAGTATCCACATTTTTAGGTACCTAGGTAGGGTACTTTTGTTGGCTAACAACAAAATGGATGTTTGATTAAGAAAAGATCAGAGTAATTTATAAAATTGAAAGATTAGCTGAAGAAGGGTGCTTCAGAAAAGCTGAAAGTAGAGCAGGCACAAATGGCCATCCTCTTTAAGGCACCACTACAGTTTTGTACCAAATTAACCATTTTCCCATATTTTTCAATACTTTATACAAGAGTCACATTTCTGGAGGAGTCTTGATTGTTCCAGTTAGAGTCTTGACTCCATGGCCTAAAGAGGGAAGGACAGCTTGGTTGACAATTCCATTCAGGAATATAAGATGAGTCATTTTTTTCTTAAAAGGAAATTAGGAACTTTTACAGAAGGAAAAATTAAATTTGGTACGCAAAAATAACAATGTGGCCATTGGCTTTCTAACACCCAGTCTTATCTTTTCTCTTATATGTGCAGTTTCAAAATGTTCTCGTCAGCGCAGTGAAATTGTTCCATATATAACCAAAGCATACTCATGCCTCCCCGAAAGGAGGGTGGAGCTCTGATCCAGTTAAGGTACCCAATCCAAGTTTAGGGTATGTAGGTGAAAACTACTCCTTTTCTTGTTCTATCAACCAACCTATGAAATAAAAAAAAAAAAGGAAATTTAACCACTCACGGTATATCATACATAGATAGTCACAAAAAAGGAAAGCTAAGCGAAGAGGTTCATTTAAACACAGGTTCTTATGTGCTCACCAAGCAAGGAGATACCTGTATCAGCTGGTTCCTGTGGCAGGTATTTATAACTTCTCTTTTGTACTATCCATTCCATTCCTTAATTCACCAAATATTTGTGATTACTTTGTACCATCCTTTGGTCTAGGTACTGTGGACAGAGTAGTGAAGGACAAAGTTTTTGTTCTGATCAGGAAGATAAGCAATAAATAAGTAAACAACAAAATATAACTTCAGATGGTTGTAAGGTAATGCCGCATAGAAAAAGCAAAGTGAGGGCAGAGAGTAAGGGCCATGAGGGGATGGAGGAGGTAGATAGCCCTGTTTTAATGAAGGTGATCAGGAAAGAGTTTATGTTAATGTGACATTTGAGCAGAGACCTAACTGAAAGAGAAAGCCCCACAAGATCAGGGGAAAAACATTCCAGGGAAGGGGGTAGAACAGTGATTTAAAGGTCTTGACAGGGTAAGCTTAGTGGGTTTGAGGAGTGGGAAGAAGGCTGATGTTGCTGGAGGAAAGCAGGGTCTTGCTGCCTAGCAAGCACAAGGCCCTGAGTTCAAATCTCAGTGCTGCAAAAAAAAAAAAATAGGACTTTATTGACCATAGAAAGAAGCTGGAGTTTTCTTTCTTTTTTCTTTTGGTACTTGGGTTTGAACTCAGGGCCTACACCTTGAGCCACTGCACCAGTCCCTTTTTTTTTTTTTTTTTTTTGTGATGAGTGTTTTCGAGATAGGGTCTCCAAAACTGTTTGCCCAGGCTGACTTCAAACAGTGATCCTCTTGATCTCTGCCTCCTGAACAGCTAGGATTACAGGTGTGAGCCAGCGGCACCCAGCAGAAGTTGGATTTTATTCTAAACCTGATAAGAAGTGATTGAAGGGATTTTTGTGCAAAATTAAACATAAAGGTATGAAATGGGACAGAGAAAGCCACATGGGAGGCTATTGCTGTAGTCCAGATAAGATGGTACAGATTTGGAAAAGGGTTCTAAGAGTTGGAAGAGGTAGCAAATGATCAAATGATCAAATTAGGGTTGTTTAAAAAGGTAACATCAACAAGCTTTTCCAATGGATTGAGTGAAGAGTGAAGTGGAACTTATGCCTATGTTTCCAGAACATTATAAAAAAATCATCACCAGTATCATTATCCCAGAGTAAAAGGATGATTCTTTGAGATCTTCAACAAAATTCAACATATACTCCCGATTTTTTGTGGTGGGGGGAGGGTGGTACTAGGGTTTGAATTCAGAACTTCACACTTGCTAGGCAGGCACTCTACCACTTGAACCAATACCTCCAGTCCATATTGCTCTCATTATTTTGGAGATGGGGCTTTCACAAACTGTTTGCCTGGGCTGGCCTCAAACCATGACCTTCCAATCTCAACCTCTCAAATAGCGAGGGGTTACAGCTGTGAGCCACCAGTGCTCAGCTCATTCCTGATTTTTAAAATATCAATAAAATAAGAATGGTGGATACTTCCTTAACATGATGATTTCAATCCTAACATCAGCAAAACCAGCATCTTACTTGTGGGGAAATAATAGAGGAATTCTCACTTAGGTCAGAAGCCAAGACAAGGACATCTGCTATCTCCATTATTGTCAGATGCATTATCCAGTGCAAGCAAGGAAAAACATAGAGGTATAAAAATTTCAAAAGAATAAGTGAGATGGCTTTCATTTTTAAGTGACAAGAATAAGAAAATTTGACTCAATTGTGTTCATTTTACTATCAGTGTCTTCATAAGTGCAAGCAATAACCAGTTAAATAGAATGGAAAAGAAATCCCCATTTACACTAGCAGTGAAAAAGGTGAAGCGTTTAAAGAAGAATAATTCAAAACATTCCTGACAGACATAAAAGTAGGCTTACCCAAATAAAAACAAACCCTTTATAGCATAAAAATGTTAATTCTCCCCAAGTTAATGTATGCATTAAATGTGATCCTAAAAAAAAAAACACTCATGAGGGTTTCTTTTCTTCATGGAGGCAGATAAGGTGTCATGAGTTTAGGTTTCCTGGGAAGCAGACAGGCATGTTTGGTGTGCAAGAGGCTAATTGGAGATTACTCTTGGAACCAACGATTTAGAGAAGGTGAAGGAAGTTAGGGAATCAGGATTGGGAAAGGAGAATTGAAGCCGCAGTGAACATGTCAGCTGTACTGTGTTTTTGTGTGAGTCCTTTTGGATTCACCCTATTAGACATCTGTTGAGCTTCCTTGATCTGGATTTCTGTTCCCATCTCCAGATTTGGGAAGTTTTCTGCCATTCTATCTCTGCTTATTTTTTTCTGCTTCTCTCTTCTGGTACTTTGATGAATGTATTATTGTGCTTGGTGGTGTTGTCCTCACTCTTTCATTCTTTGTACTCCTCAACCTGTTAATCCTTTCTTCTCCTTTTCTGCTGTTGAACCCCTTTATTGAATTTTTGAGTTCAGTTACTGTATTCTTCTGCTGTATGGTTTTTGTTTGATACTTTTTTTTTTTAACATTTTCTTCTATGTTGTAGTTCTCAGGTGTTTTCACATTCTTTTCATTTTAGCGAGCATCACCTTGACTCTTCTAATTCTGTCAGGTAGATTACATATCCCCATTTCATTAGGGCCAGCTTCTGGAAAGTAATATTTTTTTTTCTTTTAATGGAACTGGAGTTTGAACTTAGGGCTTCACACTTGTAAAACAAGCACTCTATTATTTGAGCCACACTTCTAGTCCATTTTACTCTGGTTATTTTGGGGTTGTTTGTTTTTTTCTTCTGATTTTTGGAGTTTTTATTTTATTTTTTATTTTATCATTTTTACATTTACTCACATGTGTATACATTGGGCCACCCTCCCTGCCCACCCCCACACACACTGTGGTCATTTTGGAGATGAGGTTTTGCAACCTATTTGCCCAGGCTGGCCTTGAACCAGATCCTCCTGATTTCAGCCTCCCAAGCAGCCAGTATGACAGGAGTGAGCCACTGGCAGTTGGCTAACCATGCTATCATATTGAGAACAGAGTTCTGTTTCTTCATTTTCCTTGACTCTTGTTGGTCTCTGCATTATTTAAAAGAATAAAACCCTCCCCAGCACTTGTTACACTGATCTCCTGTGGGAGATGTTCCTTCCCGGTTAGTGTGGTCAGATATTCATGTGCCTCTAAAGTCTGCTTTTCCAATCTGCTTTGATTTTAGTGGCCCCCAAGAAAGTACTCTCAAGTCATGCTATTGCCTTGAGAGAAGTGGAAAGGAAGTCAGTATCTTGGGATGCAGCTGCAGAGGTTAGGGTGTTAGATGTGTGTTCTAGTTCCTCCTTTGCTTACAGGGAAGTTGAGAACTGGAGTTTCCACTCCTTCTGTGCCTCACCATGGAGATGTTCTGTTCTCTGGCTCAGATGGCTCACTTTGCACCTAGGGAGGCAGCTGCAGGATGTTTGAAGCTTAAAAGTCCCCTCTTTATTCTCTGTGGTCTAGGACACTCACGTGCAGAGCTCTGTCATCTCCCAAAGTATAGGAGGTTTAGGAATCAGTCCTTGGGTAAAGGCTGTAAAAGTTGGAATGCTTGCTGCTGTGTGTATATGGATATTTGCTGGAACAAGCCAGGGAAGGCTGAGTATGCCCACTGTCCTGTTGGAGAAAGCAGAAATCTCACACCCTCCCAGCAGGAGCCGCCTCTGGTCTGAATTTGTCACTGTAGTATAACTGCTGGGGAGGTAGGCACAATGAGTACCCATTTTCTCTTTCATGTATAGAGTCATCTCTCTCTGAGAATTGCAGAAATGTGTCCCAGGAGCAGGCCAGGGGAGAGGCCAATGGGAGCAAGTTGCTGTCCCTTCCTTCCATGTCAGCAGTATTCTCTAGTCTCCTTCCCCAAAGAGATCGAAGGGCTGGGTTTATCACTGTAGGGAAGCAGGCCATGGCAGGCATTCCTTTGGCGTAGTCTTGAGGCAGTTTGTTCTTTATTTACTGCCAAGACTCCCAGATACTGGCCTGTTCAGAAGCCAGAACTACACTGGACTGCTGAAAAACATGCAACCAAACCCCTCCCAAGAGGGGAGTTGCAAGCTGGGCAAATGTTAAGGATTGCAACTGCTGGGAATGCTCACAAAGTTCACAGCTCCCCTGTGTTCTTAGTGTTTTTGAGACAACTTAGTGTTCTGATTGAGTTATGGATTCTACTGTTTCCTAAGCAGGTGTTTACTCGGTGTGCCTGTAGGAAGAGGGATAGTCAGGAGTCTCCTGTTGTTCTGACACTATCACATGGCTAAAGTCTTCCTGTAAACTCTGAATATTTTCTGAAGGTAGAACTAACCATATTTACAGAGGTGTCTTTGGTGGGGTGAGAAAGAAAGGAGTCAAGGATGCTTCAAGATTTTGGCCTGAGGAGCTAGGATAATGGAGTTGCTGTTTACTGAGATGGTGAGAATGACAATGAGCTTTTGCCTTCTCCAAAAGTTCACTTCCTCCAACTCTTACCCATCCTAAAATGTCACCTTCTTGAGGTTCCATCCACCAGCCCTACATTAGAAAGTTGGATTTTTCTTACCACACTTGCAGTGAAATAAGTGTACAAGTATTTAGTTTCTGTTTCCTTTGGTAGATTGTAAGTTCTGGTGGAGGGAGGGTCCTACATCTTTTCCCCTAAAGCCTAGCCCAGTGCCTGACAAGTAGCAGGAGCTCAGTACATACTCCTTAAGGAGTGGATGCCTGAGAGAACCCTGATAAGGTAATGTTGACAGATGTGAAAGTAGTCCTAAAATGCTGGGCAGTGACAGCCATGCTTCAGGTGAGCAATGAACTTGAACATTGTTCCTTTTTTCAATTGATAGAGGACTAATATCAGCCATTTATTATCTGATTGGGTTCTGGGTTCTACTGACTCTCTGAGTAGGTATTTATTCGGTGTGCCTGCAGGAGGAGAGACAGTCAGAAGTGTCCTGTCATTCTGACGTCGTCACATTGCTTAAGTCATCCCTAACCCAATCAGTATCCCTTTGAGTGTCTGAAAAACTGATTTCATTTGAAATCTGAACTGTGTAAGTGCCACAAAGATAAGTAGTTTTTCCTTCTCCCTTACCACCCACCAGGCCACTGGTGCCAGCAGTGATACCTGGCAACCATTCTGTGATTATAACTCATGTTTACTAACAGTAATTATTCTTTCTCTCAAGGTTAATCTGAAGCGACCATGTCCTTTTTGGGCAGAAGATGGCCATTGTTCAATAAAAGACTGTCATGTGGAGCCCTGTCCAGAGGTATGATAAACAATAAAAGTAAAATAATAGGGGCAGACTTTCTTTCTCTTGAACTTTTCTTTTTTGCAATACTGGGACTGGAACTCAGGACCTCAAGCTTTACCACTTGAGCCATGCCCCCAGTTCTTTCACTTTTTTTTAAGTTTGTTTCAGGTAAAGTCTCACACTTTTACCCAAGGTACCCTCAAACTGAGATCCTCCTGCCTCTGCCTCCCAAGTAACAGAGATTACTGGCATGTGCTACCACACCTGGCCTCTCTTGGACTTTTAGATGAGTGTGCGCTCTGTATTATAGGTTAATGTTAGTGGATTCAGACTTACCAGCAAACTCAGATGCTCTCAGCTTTCCTTAATAAGCAGACGATTGAAGTTTACTCTAAACTTGTGCAGACCGGGTTCAGAGCGACCAGTCCCAGGGGTATTGGTAAATGGATGTGTGGGTTTAGTACAATTCTAACACAGAGGAAAACTAGAGGCCTGTTCTAGGGTTTTATTTCATGCTTTGTTGAACCTGGCCTTGTCTCATGGACAAAAAGAAAAACAAGTGGTGACCTAGACTTCAGATTTAGCATGGGATTGCAGTTCTAGGCTTGGAATTAGGTCTTCATTTGTTCTTGTCATACTTTTTTAAAAGGCTGTATTTACTACCAAGAAAATGCTTTACTTTAGACTTGGACTTTTCCCCTTGCTGTGTTGGCGATCAAAGCCAGGGCCTCACACATGCTAGGCAAGTGCTCTACCATGAGCCACATCTCAGCCACTGGTCTGTGACTTTTGACATGTAGCATAATTAAGCTTTATTCTTCTCCCTTCAGCAGTAATTGGCTGTAAGAGATGTTTTTATTTCACTTTTTGCTTTTCATGCATAATCATTCTAATTGACTCTCCTTAAAAATAGTAAAAAAAAATTTAAAAATTTTAAAAAGACGCATGGATCAATATGCATCCTAAAAGGAGAATTTATGTCTTCATTTTTCTTTAAGAGTAAAAGATGCATTTAAAAACTTTTTAGCTTGAAATAATTTCAGACTTATGGAAAAGTTATAAGAAGAATACAGAGAATTCCAGCTTTTTTTACATTTGCCTTATTATTCTCTCTGTATATTTATTATAATTATGTTCTGAACCAGTTAAGTGTTGGTATGTATTTCCTTAAAAATAAGAAAATACCTCTAAATACTTCAGTGTTCAATGCATATTTCCTTAGGAATAAGAACATTTTTTATGTAACCACTGCAAAATTAACAAGATCAGGAAATTAGCATTAATATACTACTAATGTATAATCTTTTAGTCACATATTGCCAGTTGACTGAATATGCTTGTGCTTTATAGCCAAACAAAAGAGTTTCTAGTCCAGAATGCAACCATAACTGTACATTGTACTTGGTTGTCATGTCTCTTTATTCTCTTTCCTCTGGAACAGGTCCTCAGTGGTCTTTTTTTTTTCTTTGTGGTGCTGGTGATCAAACTTAGGACTTTGTACATGCTAGAGAAGGGCTCTACTACTCGGGCCTCACCCCCAGTCCTTTTGCTTTTAGTTTTTCAGGTAGGGTTTCAAGATAACATTGCCATGATTTTCCTGTCTCTGTCTCCCAAGTAGCTGGGATTACAGGTGTATGCCACCAAACCTGGCAAAAACTCCTAATGGTTTTGATTTTAACATGCTACACTATACTGGTTGGAGGACATATGGTAGTCAGAGGCACTTTTGGTTAATACTTATTCCAAAATATTGACAAGACATTTTTATGTAGTCTACTAGGAAATACCTCCTATCATAATCATCATCATTATTTATATTCTTCAATCTGACAGGAAAACGTTCTGAATATTTTGTTAAAGTCATGAAACATAGGCAGAATGGCTCAAGTGGAAAAGCACCTGCCTAGCAAGCATGAGGCCCTGAGTTTAAACCCCATTACCACCAAAACCAAAAAGTCATGAAGCATGAACAGTTTTAATAGATAATTTGCTTCTGTTTGATAGTACCTAGATTCAGATGTGGAAATGTAGCATGTTGATCAGAGGATCAACTAATTATTAGCTTTGTAGGAAAGTGTTGGGACTTAACACAATTCTTCCACTGGTAAACTCTAGATGACTTAGATTGGTGAGCCTAGGTTTCTGGTGATCCAGAAATCTGACTCTTGCCTCCTAGTAATCCAGAGTTCCAAAGTTGCCTAAAATTTAGATGTCATCTTAGAGCAGAAATGAAAACGGAACATAAGCCAGGAGTAGTGGCACATATCTATAATCCCAGCTACTCAGGAGGTGAAGGCAGGAGGATTGTGAGTTTAAGGCCAGTCCAGGCAAAGGCTAGCAAGACCCTATCTCAAAAACAAAACACAAACAGAAGTGTTGTGGGGCATAATTCTTAAGTGGGAATCACTTACCCAGCGTGCTCAAGGACCTGGGTACAATCCCCAGTGCCACAAAAATTAAAAATAATACTGTTTCAAGAGATTTGGGCTTTTACAAGCTTCATTTTCTGTGGTAAGAAAGTTTATAGGAAGGTGATTGTTAGCTCTCCTTTGCTGAAATTGTTTAAACTGTTAATGGTTATTAGAGCAATTTTTGACTGTATATGTCGTTCACTTTTCTGTACTTCAATTTGTAAGTCTATAAATTGGGATAAGTCCTTGGTTTTATATCAACAAGTCATGTAAACAATTTAAATCAATGTATATTCCCCCTCCCATAGATTAGAATACTTTATGGACCACTTTTTAAATATTTGTTACTGTTATTCTTTTAAGAGTAAAATTCCAGTTGGAATTAAAGCCGGACATTCTAATAAGGTGAGTCACTTTTCCTCTTGACTATTTCTGCTAACATAGTCAGCGCCTCACGGTGGCTGCAGTGCGGAACCATCACGTGGTCTCAGGATTCCAAATCCCTGGTGTTTGAAGCAAGCAGAGGGGTGCTTTCCTGACTTCCTTAGAAGTTACTTCTGCTTGCAGGAAGCCCTGGAAGGACTCTAAAATGTAGCCACCACATCAGAACACCTACTCAATAGGTGTCTTAGCTGTCACATAGGTATTTAGTGTTCTGTTTCAACCAGTTAGATTCAGGATCTATTTATAGAAAAAGTACGGATGAAGCTATTTGAGCAGAGTACTTTGAAATGGTGGTGAAGTGCTCCTGTGTTACAGATTGCCCTTTGCTTATGAGCACACCACCTATGTCTTTAGGTAACAGTTGGCTTCTGGTTTGTCACTATTGTACACACATAGTAATTACCAGCATTCTTCTTCGTGCCTCCCTCTTGGACAGTCTTTCCATGTTCTCCTGACTCTCTCCCATGTCCTGTCAGTGCTCATTTTCTCCTGTTTTTCCTTCAAATCTATAACAAAGGCAGTGGAACCCCAATCCTTTGAACACCTTCCTAGTTCCATTCTGCTTCCTCCTTCCCCAGAGCCAACCATTTTCCCGGAGTGTCCATACGTGGTTTTTCTCTCTTGCCTGTGTGTCTGTCTATAAGTAATATACTTTTATCACATAGGATCTATAATACTGTAATAGGTAGATTATTCTGTGTAAAATTAAATTTTAATATTGAATTTATTTAAGTTGAAAATGTTCTTTTTGTGTTTTTACTCCATCTTAATTCTTTTGAAGGCTTTTCTCTGTTGCTATGTGTGGATGTTGTTCAGCTTCACAGTAGTCAGTTGTATGACTGTGACACACAGAAACCATTCCTCTGTCCACAGACATTTCAGTTGTTTCCAGCTTTCTGCTTCTATGAGCAGTCATGCCTTTTTGTCCTTTGTCTCCCTGTATATGTAAGTTTCTCTTGGTCTGTGCTGGAGCATAGGGTCTGTTTATCTCAGCATTTCAAGATGATACTTTTGTGTGTGTGTAGTTCTAGAGTTTGGATTCAGGGCCTCGCCCTTGCTAGGCAGGTGTTATACCTCCTGGGCCATGCTCCCAGCCCTTTTTGCTTTAGTTATTTTTCAGGTAGTCTCATGTCTTTTTGCCCTGGGCTGGCTTAAGACTGTGATCCTCCTATCTATGACCTCTTGTGGCTGGGATCACAGGCCTGTACCACAACTCCCTGATGATTGACTGATTGACTAATTGATTGAGATGGGAATCTTGCTAACTTTTGGCCCAGCCCAGAACTTCTATCCTCTAATCTCTGCCTCCTGAGTAGCTGGGATTATAGGCATGAGCCACTGTGCCCCACTCAGAGGCTATAACTTTTAAAACAATTGTTGCATTGGGGTATGGTATCAGTAACAGGACTACTATTTTAAGGATTTATGCATTTTTATAACTAGATGTATCAAATTTCTTTCCCAAGTGAGTTTTCTCAGTTTATGTCATCACCAACACACTAACATTAATTGTTCAATTTTCAATGTCTTTGCTTTTTTAGTGGGTAGAAATGTGTGCCTCATTTTTATTAGTCTTTCTTACATATGTGGCTTTTTCCTTACATTGTGCAGGTGTTTTCTTTGTAAATTTGCTGTCTAGATTCATTTGTATCTAAACAGATTTGTCTGATTCTTTTAACTGATAGATATTTTTCATCATACAAAAACACAAGGGATTTTAATAATAGGACATATCCATATTTAGACTATGTCATCATTAACAGCTCTTCTGCTAGTGGAGGCTGAAAAAATAATTATTATTACTAAACTTACTACGAACTTCCTTGCAGTACTTGAAAGTGGCAAACAGTACCAAAGAATTAGAAGACTGTGAGCAAGCTAACAAACTGGGAGCGATCAACAGCACATTGAGGCAAGTTCTGTTTCAGTAGTGTTAAGAAGCTAGCTCCTTACTTAGTTTGTTTATATCAATAATTCTTTCTTGGGATTTTGGTAAAATATTTTTTCTAACTATTGTTTTCAACGAATACATTTTTAAAAGGAAGAAGAAGTTAAATTACTCTTTACCTGGAACTCCATAGTAGTTTTGCCTTCTCTTGCCTGGTTTGTCCTTCAATTCCTAGACTGTATCATCTGTAGTAAATTCTATTGTGAATGATAAAAGTTGCTGTTGCCGTAACTTAAGTTTCATGATTTTTTTTCTGCAGATTTTTCCTTATTTGCTTTAAACAGAAGCTTGCTTTTGAGGGCCACTAAATGATTTATAAATAGTCTCAGAGTGAGCAGTATAAAATGACTGCAATCTGCAGTTGGGAACAGAAGATTATAGAAACTCTTTTTAACTCCCATTTGTTTAGATTGTGTTTAGACTGTCTGCTGAGTCATGGTAAAGCTAGTAGTCTCCCTGTCTTATCTTCCAGTAAATATACATCTTAATATGTAAAAGCAAGAAGGATAATATAATAAGCACCTGCCTAACCTCCATTCCAAATGAATAAAGTCGACATTTTATGCCATGTTTTTTGGTTGGTTGGTTTTGTGGTACTGAAGAACAAACCAGGGTCTCACTCATACTATGCAAACACTAGATCACTGAACTGCATCCTCAAACTTTACCTTGTTTTCTAAGAAACAGAAACTGTCATGGATAAAGTTAAACCCCTGTGCTGTATCCTCTACTACTTTTTCCCTCTTGGTCGTTAGAGGTAACTACCCTGAATATGGTATATACCCAGTCAGTGATTTTGTTTTGTCATAGCTGTTATAAATAATGTACGGTTTTAGCTCACACATATGATTTTATTTTTCCTTATATAATTGATATATTGCATTTAACATTTTGCAGCTTTTTTCTTCATAAATTTGCTTTCTAGATCTATCTGTGTTGAAACAGATTTGTCTCGTTCTTTTTACCTACAGATGTCTTTCATCATATACTGTATTTTATTTATGTATTCTTCTACTGATAGCAATTGTTTGGAGCATTGTTGGGGCTCAGACTCAGGACTTCGTGTTTGCTAGGCAGGTTGAGCCACACCTCCAGCCCTGATAGATGCTTTTCACTTCCACAAGCCATGCTGCCTTGAGCATTCTGAATGGTTCTTGTAGCACACTGGAAATAAGATCGCTTGATCTCGGGATTGTCTGTTGTAACTATTGGTAATACTGCCGATACTCCAAAACACTTGGATGACTGTGCACTGCCTTCCACATTCTTGCCAAAGGCTAGTGATATTTGATGAGGGTGAAATAGTACCTCATTTTTGTTTAGTTTGTACTTGATGATTGCTGGTGAGTTTGAGCATTTTTTCAGGTTTATTGGCATTTGAGTTTGTTATTCATTCAACAAACAAAGGCCACAGAATGCCACATGCTATTCAAGTGTCCCAGGAGTACAGCAGCTCACGTGATAAACCAAAGCTCTGCCCTCGTGTAGGTTACCCGTGTAAGGGGCAAGCGCTTGAGAAATGGGTAGAGAATTTGAGCAGGAAACAAGATGGTGATGAGTGCTAGGAAGAAGAACAAGTAGGAAAGAAGACTAGAGAGGGCTCGGAGGGAGGGTGGTCAGGGAAGACCTAAGTGACAACAGGACATATGTTACCTGGGAATGTGTGTCCAGGTGCTGCATGAAGTGTTAGGGAAGAGGCCAAGTAGCAGGATCATGCCTAAACCACATGAGGAACCACAGGACCAGTGTGGCTGCCAGACAGCCATCAAGGGCAAATTAATAGAAGGTGATGCCAAAGATGCCAGGAATGGGCCTGGTATCACGGCTCACATCTGTAATGCCAGCTACTCAGAAGGTGGAGATCAGGAAGATCATGGATTTAGGCCAGAGCAGGCAAAAAGTTAGTGAGACCCCCATCTCAACAAAAAGCTAGGCGTGGTGATTCACATCTGCAATCCCAGCGACATGGGAGGCACAGGTAGGAGGATCGTGGTTCCAGGCTGACCTGGGGTAAAAGCAAGACCCTATCTGAAAAATAACTGATTCAAAAAAGGGCTAGGGATGTGGTTCAAATGGTAGAGCACTTGCCTAATAAGCACAAAGCCCTAAATTAAAAAAAAAAAAACACCCAGGGGTGGCAGTGGGGTGGGTAGAGGTCTTGTAGAGCCTTGAAGAACTTGTAATGAGTATTGCTTTTAAACTGAGTGGAATGAAAGGTAATGAGAGCATGGGAGTCCAGCTTTGTGTGGTAGAAACCGGGCTCTGAGATGGTCACAGAAGACAGGAGGTGACTTAGGCCCTGGCAGTGGACATGCTGAGAGGTGGTCAGAATCTGGATGTATTTGATGGCAGAGCTGGCAGGATTTGCTGAAGGACTGAATGTGACATCTAAAAAGACAGGATCTTTATGGACTGCAGGGTTTGCAGCTAGAGGAGCAGAGCTGCCCCTTACTGACCTGGGAATGCCCGTAAAAGGAGCAGGATTGACGGGAAATCACAGTTAATTTGGACTTCAGTTTCAGCTGCTGTGAGACATGTAGAGTAGGACATGTCCAGTCTGTGGACTAGGGGAGAGGACTGAGGGTCAGTCAGTACATATATGCTATTTCACACATAGCCATAGAGCTGCATGTGGACACCAAGGACGGAGGGTACCTAGGGACAAGGTGTAGGTCCTTGAAGGTTTTGAGTAAATGGCTTGTCTGTGCTCTTGGTCATTACTTCTCCACTGGAGTGTTGGGCTCTTCCTTACTGATTTGCAGGTATCATTTATTTATATAATCTGATAGTCCTTTGTTATCTTTTGTAACTTTGCTGTTAGCTTTTTGTTGCAGAAGAGAGGGTATTCTTTTAACTTTTACATTTAAGTATAATACACATACAATAAAGAACACAAGTCTTAACTACTTAACTCTAAGGTTCTGTTTTATTTTACAAAGTGAATCCACCTCTGAAGCCATGATCCAGCACAATATTCTTGCTCCCCAGACCACCTTCCAAAGTCAACTGTGATTTTGAATTATATTGGCAGAGATTAGTTTTGCCTGTCTGTATTAATGGAATAATGTAGACATATCCTTTGTATTTACCTTTGTGTGGGAGGGGTGGGTGGTGTTTTCTTGTGACGGGACCTCTATATTCATGCTGGCCTGGAACTTGAGATCCTCCTGCCTCAGCCTCCTGCGTGCTGGGAAGACAGGTGTGCACCATGACGCCAGGCTCACATCTCCCTTCTTCTATTCGTGTGCCCTGTGTCTCTGAGATCTCTAGTCATGCCATCATACGCCAAAGTTACCTTGCCAGAGCAGTGGATAAGATTTCCTACTTCCACAGCTTCTCTGCCAGTGGCATTACAATTTTTAAATAGTTTTATATCGAGGTATAATTGACACGCAATACACTGTACATATTTAAAGTGCACAGTGTAATGGTTTGACATACACATACAGCCACGAAACATCATCACTATCAAAACAGTGATATCTTAACCCCCACCTCCCACCCCGTCTCTCCTCATGCTCCTTCGTTGTCTTGCCATCCATTCTCTTCCTACCCAGTTTCTCTCAAGGTAACACCTCCATGAAAACATTGGGTTAAATCCAAGAAATTCTTCCCCAGATAGCTTTATATTCATACTCTGCCCCACCCCCAGGGTTGATTTTGAAAAGCTGACCTCTAGATTCCTTTTATAAATGAAGCTGGGACAGTTCTGTTAGCATTAGGTGAGTATTCAGTACCTTTTCCACTGTGGAGGCTTGAGGCGAGCATTAAATGAAGTCATCGGCAAAGCCTCATCCAAAAAGGATGCTTGAAGAAAAACAGTCTGTGAGTCAGTCACATATTGTTAACAAGAGCGTAGGAATTTAACTTACAATTGACTTACTACATGGATTTTGATGGAAGTTTTATCTTTGAAACGCCACTATAGTTATGTTATTTCAGGTATAACTAGATCTTAGGCATTCTTGTTTATGGTACTACACTTTTCACCTGAATCAACTAGGAAACAGATTTTTTTCACTAACTTTTTTTAAGTTTTGTATTCCCATAGAAAAACCCCCAGGTACATTGAATTTGGAAAGTCACTGGTATAGTGCAGCCAGCTTGTGCACTTCTTTGTAATGGTTGTGTTTCAGTGCAGCAGTTTCTCAGGCACCACAGTTGCATTTAGGAATCACTGATGATCACTTGTACATGTTTCTCACCTGCCCTTCCTTTCATGTAGTGGACGAAGGAGGGTGGCAGCATGGCTCTTCTGTGGCAGTTGCCACTGTCATGTGTTCAGGACAGAGATGGCCTGGCTGTAGGTTAAGTGAATGAGCATTGTTCCTTATCAGCATTTCAAGTTGGAAATCCTTACCGTAGACTTTGTTAACTGTGACGTAGAACGTGAAATGAATGGTACTCCATGACGACAGTGGCTTTGGTGTAACTAGCAAGTGCCACGACTGGGAGATCACAGAAACGCAGTTCTCAAAGTGCTTCACCGCATCAGCTTGTGCCATGGAGCTCCAGAAAAACGGTTCTTGCCACACAGGGTGGTGCCTACCTGCCATCCAGCACTTGGGAGGTGGCGGGAGGAGGGCTGCAAGTGCAGGCCAGCCTGGGCTACACAGCAAGACACTGTCTCAAAAAAACATGCGGGGAGGGGGTGGCTTGGTGCTGCAGCACTTGCCTGCCATTAGTTCTCGGTACCGTGAAAAAAAAACAAAAAAAGGCAGCTCTTGGTATCTGGGATCCTGTAAGAGTAGAAGAAATTTAGCCAGGTGCCGGTGGCTCATGCCTATAATCCTAGCTACTCAGGAGGCAGAGACCAGGAGGATCATGGTTCGAAGCCAGCCCAGGCATAGTTCTAGAGACCCTATCTTGAAATAACCCATCACAAAAAGGGCTGATGGAGTGGCTCAAGGTGTAGGCCCTGAGTTCAAGCCCCAGTACCACAAAAAAAAAAAAAAAAAGCAATTTAAATTTAAACAATTCTGAAAATCAACTGAGTTCCTACTTTAGGAAGAATATAAACATTACTACAAGTCTAATAAGTCAGTTGAAAAGATCCGCTTGATTTTTTGCTTAACTACATGTCATATGTACTCATAAATTTTTAGTCAAAATAATTGAACTAGGGCAACTGTCATTTTAATTGTGCTTAAGAAATATAAGTCACTCATGGAAATTAGTATCTGTTTTTCATATGACTCATTTTCATTATTCCTTTATGTAACCACTAATACTAGAATTTGTGACATTTAATAAAGAAGTAACCTCATATTATCTATATTTTAATTAGACTAGAAAGCAGTGCGAAAATTTTCAACTCCACATTTGATTATTTTTCTTTTTATTCCTCCTTCTCATAGTAATCAAAGCAAAGAAGCTTTCATTGACTGGGCACGGTATGACGACTCACAGGATCACTTTTGTGAACTTGATGGTAATAAAATCAATTAATAATTCCATGATTTTAGCTTTAGCCTTTATCCAACATTTAATCAGTGAAATTATAATTGAATTACAGCTTCCACATAGGATTTTGGTGTGTAGATCTTATGCATAATGGAATTTCTTGAGAGCCTCTGAAGCCCTGTGTAAGTGCCTTAAATACAGTATTTCTGATCTTTACAGCTGCCTTAGTAGGTGCTTATTATCTCATATCTGAGAGAACTGAGTTTCATAGAGGCTAAATAATTTGTCCAAGACCCCATAATAGCAAAAGGCTGATCTGAGTCCAAAACGTGTGTTCTTCCCATAATAATCTGCCATCTCCTTTGGACGTTCAGATAAGCCTCCTGGCTGTAGTCTGTGAACATAATATAAGAATGCTTGCACTAGATTTGCTGGAGGTCTCAACAAAGTCTCGTAAAGATGCCCTCAGTTTCCCCTGGAAGTATATGTGGCCAGCAGAGTAACTGCCATGTCCTACAACAGAAGAAAGTTGCAGTGACTCAAAATGTCTCTTCTCTAGGAAAATAGTTTCAAAGAACCGTGCTTTGTATGCTGAGCTCGTTCATTGGGCCTCTTGTCACCTTTACCTTGCATTGTTAAACTTTTGGTGATGGAAAGAATCGGGTTCAAGCTGTACAGTTGGATATGGACAGCAGAGATTTCTCAGCTCCTGAAGGATCTGTAGTGACAGCACTGTTCTGTAAAGGTTTGAAAGTCTCCACTGGGGGAGTTGTACTGCTGACCCATGCTGTAGTGGAGAAAGCACCAGGGGCTTACTCTGTAGCATGATCAAGAACTCTGGGGATGGCGTGTTGCCATGGTTTATGTCGTGTCAGCAGGGACATTTTTAAGAACTCTGAGTTCCTTTGGGTATTGGATCTACCAATAGACAATTAATGAATTATCCCCATTGGTATTTAGAATTGACTAAAGTTTTATCAGACCAAGCCATGTGCCTAAGTTTTATGCTTGCTAAACTGTTAAACCTTTTATTGTTCTTTGGTTATCATTCTAATTAAACTTGAGTGCCCAACACTAGTCACTTCTTTCCAATTTCTCATTTTACCTGTTCAAATAAAGTTTTAAAAGATTATGCTTATTTAACAAACTTTCAGATTAATAAAACATTCCTGTGAATATATATTACCTTCATAATTAGTAGGTAGTTCACTAAAAATACTACTCAATTACTATAAATAAGTTGGTGTGCTCAGTCACTTGTCATCAATAGGAGATGTTAGGCGTTTTTGAAGATTGGTTTCTTAAATTGTAAAAATCGCAAAGGAAGACATGGTTTATGAGGATTGATATAAAGTCATTCTTTAAGATTTTGAGGGCTGGGATGTAGCTTGGTGGTACAGTGCTTGCCTAGCATTCCTGAGGCCCTGGGTTCGATCCCAGCACCAAAAAAGAAAAAGACAAAAAAGAAAAAAGATTTTCAGAATAGTATATTTAAAATTATTAGGATTTTTAATACTTTATATAGTTCTTATGCATATAAAACCATGTTACTTACTAATTTTATTACCACAGCTTTTATGTGTCACAGTGATTTATACCTTCAATTTTTTTCATTACTGCCAGGGCACTTTAGAATCATTGCTTAGTTATTCCCGTTATCTACTTTCAGTGGATTAAAACTAAAACCTAAAGAATAATAAACCCCAGTTTATTAGGAAAAACACCCATGTGCCTCTCTTCTCTGCTGGTTTGTTGCTGGCATTGTCTCTACTTGAATGGAAGATGATCCCTGCAGATCACACAATAGTTTCTAAATAATTCATCAGTTACTGCTTTGTCTGTTTTATTGTCTTTATTCATGGCTTACTTCCTCCTCTGGTTCATGTTTCTGCTCCAGTGTCACCTCGTCAGAGATGCCCGCTCCCATGTCCCTGTGAAAAATAGCCAGTATCACTCTTGGACCACCCCTTCCCCACTAACAACTACCTGACCACCGTGTGTGGCATTTCGTTTCCTTTATGGGTTTGTTGTCTGCCTCCTTCAACTAGACTGTGAGCTACTTTCTTGGCTCCTTACGGTATTCTTAGTGCCTAGGATGGTCCTGGACATAGGAGGTGCCTAATATTTTCTGAATGTGGTTCACAAACAGCCTAAATTAGCACGACAGCTCTTTATTTTCATGTTTCCTCTGAAAACATGTTCACTAATAAGTTTAAAATGCTGTTTAAAACAGCAGTTTTTAAGTCTAGCTGCATGTCAGATTTTTTTTTTGTGAACTTTATGAGCGAGTGAGTAGTAGTTTATGGAGGAGGATTGGTGATGGAGGGCCGTAGGCTCAATCTGAAGCTCACAGCATAATGTTTTAAGTCTGCACCATAAGTAGAAAGTCTGCATCCTGAGCTGACCCCTGCTACATTGTTTTGAGAGAGATTTGGCTGAGGGTCAGGGCAGTGTCTAGCACACTAGAAAATGTGGCGTGACCTCATAGCACTAACATTAAATTAGGTCAGGGAAAAGAGGTCAGTTTGGAAAAATGTAGACTCAAGGAAGAGAAAAACACTTTACAATTTGGTGTCTTCCCAGAAATAGGACTAAGGGAATATCTGATCCATCACAGTCTTTGACCAGCATGTCAGAGAGCTTTGTTGCAGCTTTGTAAAGGGAGGGAGAAGGCATAGTGGGGGTATAAAAAGAATGACCCGAATGGACCAATGTAGAGAAGTGACAGCTTAGGATCAAGCCAACACAGATCAGTGCCATAGGTGACCCCAGGGAAGGTTGGGCTGCAGCACTGCTATGTTCCCCTCACATACTGCTCACTCTGGATATCATGAAGTCCTTGGAACATAGGTCAAAGGTCAACAAGTTTTTCCAGAAAATGGACAGATAGGAAATATTTCAGGTGTTATGGACCCTATGGTCTCTGCAGTGACCATGCAAGCCTGCCGATATAGTGTGAAAGCTTCACAAAAACAAATGAACATTGCCATGTTCCAAGAAAACCACCTTTACCAAAATCAGCAATGGTCCAGATTTAGCCTGTGAAAATAGCTCATATAGATTAACAAACCCACCCTTCACGACTTGAAAAAATGTTCAAAGATTTTAAAAGTTAAAAAAAAAGGAAACCATTAAGGGAGTAAACATTAAGAACACTGAGAGTGTAAGTTTTACCTAAGGAAGTAGTTATATAATTGATTATACTCTTAAAAATTTTAGCTTCCTTAAAATATATGTTGAGGACTGTGTGTGGTATGCACACCTGTATTTCCAGCTAATTAGGAGGCAGAGACAGGATGATCTTGATATGAGGCTATCTCAGTCAAAAAGTTAGTGATACCTTATCTCAAAAGCAACCAGGCATGTTGGTTCACACTTGTAATCCCAGCTACTCAGAAGGTGGAGGCAGGAGGATCACCGTTTGAGACCAGCCCAGGAAAAGTTAGTGTGAGACACTGTCTGAAAAACAAATTAAAAGCAAAAGATAAAAACTGGCAAAGTAGTAGAGCCTTGGCATAGCAAGCTTAATACCCAGAGTTCAAACCCCAGTACCAAAAGTGGAAAAAGAAAATAATATATAATCATTACACTTTCATATCAGAATTAGGTTTTTCTTTATTGATTGTTGACCTGGCTTTGTGTAGAGAGAAGAGGGGTACAAGTCCAGTTGCACAGTCCTAGCCTACCCTGTACATGTGTGGTCTGCATGTGCACACACAGGACGTATTCGATAGATGTGTACACTTGTATGCATTAGAGAATCCATTTATAATATGTTCAGTAATATTTGTGAAGTTTATATAATGCAGTCAAATTTTGCAAATGAATTTAAGAATAGCTCAAGTTGCAAATACATAACTGAGAAATTAAATCATGAATTTTAAAACATTGTTTACTAAAAACTACACTTTTTTTTTTGACAGTAGCTGAGGATTGAGCCTCTCATATGCCAGTCAAGTGCTTCTACTACTGAGCTACCTTCCTGACCCTAAAAGCCATATTTTTAATAAATTAAGATTTGGACTCAGGGCCTTGTACTTGCCAGACAGGTGCTCTGCTGCTTGAACCATTCCCCCAGCCCTTTTCGCTTTTGCTCATTTCGAGATAGGGTTTTACATTTATGCCAAGGCTGGTCTAGACCTTGATCCTCCTACTTATGCCACCTGCCTTCCTGGGATAACAGACGTGCACCACAATGCCCGGCTTCTTATTGGTTGAGATGAGCTCTTGCTGTTTTGCCCAGGCTGGCTTTGAACTGAGATCCTCCTGAGTAGTTAAGATTATAGATGTGAGCTACTGTACCCAGTCCAAGCTTTTGCTTTTAAATTAAGATTTTTAAAAATTTGTTTTTAAGTCCTGAATCAGTCTACATCCTTTACTTGGACAATTTTTGTCTGTCCAACTGTAAGTTAAGTGTTTCCTGTGCCTCATTGATACAGTGGAATATGTTTATGATTCTCAGACTAGAAATAGAGTCACTGTCATGTAAAAATTACGTTCCGTCATCGGTAGTTATGTGCAACCCGGCTTAATGGTGACGTGTGGTTACATTTGTACTGTTCCCACACTGAGACAGTCACAGTAATTCCTGGAAGGTTTAGATGGCAGTGCCCATTTCCTCTTAGCATTATGGGTGATGTCAAACTGGGTCACGGAATGTTCTGTGAATGTTCACTGATAGGAAATACCCTATCAGCTAAGGAGAGAAGAGGGGCATTTAATGGCCACATTTGGCCCCTGTTTTCATCCAGGTTTATATGCACGACTGACTCATTTCTGCCGCAAAGCAGTAAGCAATAGGCCGGGCCTAACACCAGCACTCACGTGTCTCCTGTGAGACCACACACTTGTGTCGTCAAGTGCCCCAGTACTGTTTCCCTTGGAGGTGAAGGGGTGTGAGCCTCACAATCAAGACCACCTTCCTTTATATTTTGTGTGTCTCAGAGACCTCTATAAAATGTCCAAATAGTGCACATCGACCTAGTAATACTCATTTGGGTTTGAGAAGAAAAAAGCACTTCAGTTTGTTCAAATTGGTAAAAACAAATTAGTAATGTAAAAATTTTAAATTTAGAGAATTGTATAGCTCTGAATAATTAGACTTGGCTTACAGAGTTATTGAGCTAATTACTTTGTAAATCCAAATAGAGAATAACAAGAAAAAAATTTCTTTGAAACAGTGCTGCTATGCAGCCCAGTCTAGCTTCAAATCACCATCTTCTTACCTCAGCCTCCCTTGTGCTGGGATTACAGATGTGAACCACAACACCCAGGAATCTCTATCTTTAATATAAAATATCTTAACAAAATACTGGAGCTGTGCCTCGAGTGGTAGAGCATGTGCCTAGCAAGTGGGAAGCCCTGAGTTCAAACCCCAGTACCATTAAAAAAATTTTAACAATGTGAATGTGTCCAAGCCTGTGTTTACAAAGACAGATATTTAAAGACAGCACACGTGCTATAAAAGCAGGACTTTGACAGTAGGGTTTTTATCCCTTGGTGGTAGAACTAAGATGCTGAGGAGTGTCGCATGTTTTAAAATCACTGAGCACAAATCGCAGGTCAAGTCTGCTCATAACCACTCTCCCCTTTCCGTTGGAGCTTACCTGAAGAGCAGAGCACTTCTCTAGCTTGTGTGCACGTGCGTGCGTCTCCTGCTTGCTTTGCAATGCTAAGGAAGCTCTGTGTAATGGTGACCCACAGTTAGCTTCTCCAGTTTCTTTCCCGAGCAGATGAGAGGTCTCCAGCCGCCCAGTACGTGGACCTGCTGCTGAACCCGGAGCGATACACTGGCTACAAGGGGTCCTCGGCATGGCGAGTGTGGAACAGCATCTACGAGGAGAACTGTTTCAAGTAATGGGGTCAGGGGAGGGGGCATTTGTCTGTATGGGTAAAAGGATTTGTAAAGTCAAGCCATTTTATGTTTGGGTTTTGTGATCTCTTTCAGGCCTCGATCTGTGTATCGTCCTTTAAATCCTCTGGCTCCTGGCCGAGGTGAGGTTTTTTTTTTTTTTTAAATACATTCTCATGCTTTAAAGACTGTTTATATCTTTGTAACTCAACTTCCTAAGGAAAAAATTTCACCTATAAGATTAGTCATTGTTACGTGCCAAGATTTCTGTTCATGTCTTCTACAATTACTGTCATTTATTGATGCTGCCATGTGCCAGCCTGTAGAGTAGGAGCTCTAAGTAGCATGAATTAGGTCAGGTGAGTAATGCAAACATACGCAGGTGCCCTGTCCTGCCCCACACTGGGGCGTCAGAGGAGTTGTGTTCAGAGCTCGTGATTGAGGAGTGACTTTGTGTCTGTTAACTATTGAACCAGTGGCCTTTAAGATTATTTTCATTGCTTTCTAACATTTTATGGTTTGTGTAAAACGTAAAAATCTTGTGCTCTTTGGCCTTTATTAGGAAACCTTGTTTGCAGGATGACTATTTCCTCATCAGGATTCATGATAAAATGAATAGTTCAACAAACAGATTTAACCCTGTGTTAAAAATAAGTAGGATTGGAATCTCAACTGTGCAGAAGACTTCCTAAAATCTTTTCTCTTGCTTCCTCTTTTAGGTGAAGATAATGGTGAGTTGAAACTCTTGTGTTTGTTAATTTTTCCTCCTCTAATTCAAAGAAAATGCTTATCCTAACTTTTTTCCAGAAAATGGCTATCAGTGAGTGATGACCAAAAATAAGATTATTAAAAATAATATAAAGTTTTCCTGTGTTAAATGCATAAAGACCGTTTCACCCAAATGTTTAGTATAGAAACCTGGTTCATGTTCCAAGTCCCTCCCTTTCTGGCTGCTAAAATCTGCTTGAGTCATGTGGAGATGAAAGGTGCTACACTGTTATGGCTCTAGTCACCATGCTGCACAGCAGGTCCCTGGACCAGTCCTTTTATGGAACTGAAGTCCTGTCTCCTCCGACCACCATCTCCTCCACTCCACCAACAGTTCTTAACATGTTCTAGCCATTCATCTTTCTGAGGAGTTACCTTCAAAATTAGGGGCTTTTAAAATTACCCTTTGAAATTTAGTCATAGATAATTAAAGAAATACACCTACTTTTATTGGCTTTGGAAAAATGGAATAATTATAATGTAATTTTTGTGTTGGTTATCATTCACTCTTCTTATTAACAGAAGCAAATTTAAGATCATTAACTGCTCCCATGCTTTTGGATACTTAAACTTTCAATGAATAAAATTTTCATCATATTTACACTGAAATGCTTTCTCACATTTTTAATAATCAAAAATATCATCTGGCTAGGCGAGGTGGCTCACCCTATAATCCTAGCTATTCAGGAGGCTGAGATTGGGCAGATCAAGGTTCAAGGCTAGACTGTGCAAAGAGTTTGTGAGAACTGGGCTGGCAGAGTGGTTCAAGTCATACAGCGCCTGCCTAGCAAATATGAGGCCCTGAGTTCAAACCTCAGGACCGCCAAAAAAAGTTTGTGAGACCCCATCTCCACAGAAAAACCTCAGTGTGGTGGTATGCACCTGTCATCCCAGCTATGACAGGAAGAATAAATAGGATCATGGTCCAGGTCAACCCAGGGATAAAGCAAGACCCTATCTCAAAAATAACCAGAGCATAATGGGCTGGGGGCGTGGCTTAAGTGGGTAGAGCACCTGCCTAACAAGCATAAGGCCCTGAGTTCAAACCCCAGTACCACTAAAAACAAAAAAATACATCTATAAATATATACAGATGATACACACACACACACATATGTATACATATATATACAGATTGTTTATATATGTATATATATATGTATCTCCACAAATGATATATGTCATCCATAAGAACATTCTCCAGAGTTACTTAAACTACCTACGGTCTTTATTTTCTAGAAGCATATGCCTGTTTTACCATTCACCTGAAGCACAAGACATTCTAGAGATAGTCCCTAAACTGTCATAATGAGTATTTTATAAACTAGTTCATCCTAGTTTATAAATTAACATTTAAAATGTTTTGAGCCAATTCTTTTTCTCTTTTTTTAGGAGAATCATTCTACACATGGCTGGAAGGTAAACATGTCTGTGTTAATGTTTATGGCGCTGGATCAGAAGATCCTGGTTTTTGTGCTCCAAATGGAAAAATCCAAGCAGAGCACATGGAAAGGGTGAGGTAGGATAGCTTTTTTGAGAAAAGGGAAGTCACCTGTTCTGCCAGGTGAGAAAAGGGAGGAAAAAGGGGGTGCAGGTGGAATCTGCTGGCAGAGAGAGAGTGCTTTTTTTAGGTGCCTGTAAAACCTACACTACTCCATGGGAAGGCAGGCCTAGGAGGTTCCCACCCAATAGTGAAGGGCTGGGAAGGGGCAGGGCGGTTCCCAGCCAGGTGAGGGACGTCTGGGCCATCCCCAGGCAACCTGCTTGAGCCCCAGACTTTTCCTACTTCTAGCCTGCCTCATTAACTTTGTTGTTTTTTTGTTTAAAAAAAAAATTGACTTATTTAGTATATTTTTGTAAATCTTAGGATTTTATAACTTTAAAAACTAATTTTGACAATATTTGACAGAAAATAACATACACTTTAGTCTGCTATATTTTGGGACACAATTATGTAAAAATTAGCGCTCTATAAATACGCAGGCCAGATTCTGTCCTCAGGATTTCCTAACTGGTTCCCCAGTCTTACTCATTCTGTATGTAGTGTTCATCCACACTGCTTTTCTAGTGACTGGTAAACAAGTCTGGTTTTAAAGCAGACATGTTCCCTTGGAAGGAAATACTTTTTGTATATAAAATGAGGGAAGACAAACTGAATTCAGAATGATTCCTAGACCTGTCATGCCTCATATGAATGGCCTAAAACTTGTCTAATTACAAGATAAAGCAATATAGATCCCAATGAATTCGATACTTTGACATTCCTGTGTTTCCAGCTTTGAAAATATAAAACATTTTCAATGGAAAGCTGAGATGTTCTAGGGTTTGAGCAGCTGAATTTAACAGCTGCATACATGATGATTTTGAAAGTTTGCTTTACCATTTTCTGTTAGTGGAAGATAAGGAACTGCATGACCAGAGGAGCCTGGTGTTCAGAGCCATGGAACTTAGAAAACAGTTTCCTGAGCAGTCAGTTCTTTTTTGTTTGTTAATTGCCATTATGTCTACGAACATAATTGCCCTTTTGTTTTTAATAACTGTTGTAACATAGCATTCATTATAAAAGTGGGGGGAGGGAGGGGGGGGGGCGATGGGGGGCGAGGGGGGGAGGGGGGGGGGGCGGGGGGGGGGGGGGGGGGGGGGGGGGGGGGGGGGGGAGGGGGGGGGGGGGGGGGGGGGGGGGGGAGGGGGGGGGGGGAGGGGGGGGGGGGGGGGGGGGGGACCGGGGGGGGGGGGGGGGGGGGGGGGGGAGGGGGGGGGGGGGGGGGGGGGGGGGGGGGGGGGGGGGGGGGGGGGGGGGGGGGGGGAGGGGGGGGGGGGGGGAGGGGGGGGGTGGGGGGGGGGGGGGGGGGGGAGGGGGGGGGGGGGGGGGGGGGGGGGGTGGGGGGGGGGGGGGGGGGGGGGGGGGGGGGGGGGGGGGGGGGGGGGGGGGGGGGGGGGGGGGTGGGGGGGGGGGGGGGGGGGGGGGGGGGGGGGGGGGGGGGGGGGAGGGGGGCCGGGGGGGAACATTATTACTGTGCCTGTAAAATAGCTTGAGAACCTCCAAACAATTTTGCTACAGTACAGATACCTCTCTTATGAGAAAAAATATATATAAACATGTTTTTGTCAGTGTCCCATAATTCCATTGCAGAAAATTAATCTGAATGAAACTAAATCTAGAAGAAGCAAAAAACCACTTCCTAAAGTGGGTAGTTGGATTTGCTCTGCATTGTTACAACTAGGAGTTAGTTGGTGGATTTTGCCTACTAACTAGGAGTGAGTGGGTCAGCTCTGGCAGGTGTTACTTCAGAGCAAGACAGAAGCCTTGTATAGTCAGAGACACATGCATCCGGCAGCAGACTGGCCAGAGAAGCTCTCCAGCAATTTCCTGCTGAGAGCTCTTGTATCTTACTGGTGCAGTTAGTTGGTACCTCTCTCTTTGTTACCTTTTAGCTTGGGGTTAACTCGTTTGCCCAACTCATGGTACGTTTGTACTCCACCTTCCTCATTTATCACCTGTCTTCCTCCAGTTTGTCAGTTTGAGGGCTTTGTGAACTTTCCAAATGAGAACTTCCTCCTGGCCTTCCAAGTCCTGCTTTTCATGAATTTTTTGCTCAGATTGGCCTTGAACCAAGATCCTGGAGATCTCAGCCTCCTGCATTGCTAGGATCACAGACCTGAGCCACCACACGACTGTCCGAATCGTCATCTGAGTGTTCATATGTCATCCCTTGATTCATTTTTAATGTCCTTAAATCTTAACATCAAAATAATCTCCTTGACTGAATATTTGTTATCTAAATGGCATGATTTCTTTCTCAATATTTTTCTGAGCAGGTTTGTGTCTGGAGAAGAGAGTCTTCTATAAGCTTATATCAGGACTTCATGCCAGTATCAATTTACATCTGTGCGCAAATTACCTTTTGGAAGGTAACCAGGTGTTTGGGTGGAGATCTTGCCTTCTGTTACAGTGTCAGAATTGTTGGGGAGAATGCATATTCTTTAGAGTGCAAAAACCCTCTTACTACAAATGTAATGCTCCTCTCTTTCTCTTCAGAAACCTGGGGTAAACCTAGCTGGGGACCTAACATCAAAGAGTTTAAACGTCGCTTTGACCCTGTGGAAACCAAGGGAGAAGGGCCGAGAAGGCTCAGGAACCTGTACTTCCTGTACTTGATCGAGCTCCGAGCTTTGTCAAAGGTGGCCCCTTACTTTGAGCGTGCAATTGTCGATCTTTATACTGGGAATGTGGAAGAAGACACAAACACCAAGACCCTTCTGCTGAGCATCTTTCAGGATACAAAGTGAGGGTCTGCCATCAACACTCAAAGTTCTTCCACCCTGTTCAGATAGGTGGCGCTAGAAGTGTAGCAAAAGCCGACCCTAATCTAGAGCAAAGGAGGAGTGGAGCTGAGAAGGCACGGTGGTCAGTACAAGAGCATCTTAAAATACGGCCAAAGATCCTGACTGTAAAGCTGGGAAGCAGGGAGTTACACACTTGAGAATAGCCTAGATTGTAATATATGACTTAAAATCGCATGTAGAATCAAGTTTAATGCTACCTTAATGGTTTTATACCAATTTCATACTCACCAAGTTATAATTTAAATTTAGATGGTATCATGTATGTGTTAGCATTGTGATGGGTGCTTAAGGGAGCATTTGCCTTACCTTCCAGAATGTAACTTTGTAAAACATGCTTAGTCTGTAATATTTAAGTTTACTGGTTGTTAATATGGGCATGGAGGGAAAGTTAGATAAAGAAGTGCTTAAATTAGCTGGAGGTGTGGCTCAAGTGGTAGAGTGCCTGCCTAGCAAGCATAGGACCTGATTTCAAATGCCACTATCACAAAAAAAATTCTTCAAGTGCTTAAATTAGCTGGGCGTAGTGGTTTACTGCCAATATCCCAGCTACTGAGGAGGCAGAGATCATGAAGATTTGCTGCTCAAGGCCAGCCTGAGCAAAGTTGGTGAGACCCCATCTCAACAAATAAGCTGGGTGTTGATGGTACCTACTTATGGTCCCAGCTGTGTGGGAGGCTGTAGGTAGGTGGATCATGGTCTAGGCCTGCCCCAGGTAAAAATGTGAGACCCTATCTAAAATACATAAAGGTAAAAAGGGCTGGAGATGTGGTTTAAGTGACAGAGTGCCGGCTTAGCAAACACAGGCCCTGAGTTCACTCTTCAGTACTACGAAAGAAGTGCTTAAATAATGTACTAAATTTTAAAGGAATGTTAAGACTTACATATTTTTCATATAGGTCATTTTAGATGTTTGGATTATTTTATCACATAATTTCTTTAAAACGTTACAATCCTATGAATTACAAAGACATATTTACCTTGCTTTTATTTAGTTTATATGTGAGCTGTTTGTTACCTATGCTATAAGTAAAAAATGAATTTTAAATATTTGTAGGGCTAGAAAATTCTACCAAAGCTGTATACAGAGTACTTGGATTTTTCATTTGTGACTTATTATTATACTGTCATTTCATCAGGTCCTTTCCTATGCACTTTGATGAAAAATCCATGTTTGCAGGTGACAAAAAGGGGGCCAAATCATTAAAGGTAAACAGTTGTTGATTGGGGCAGGGTGGGAGCCGTTATTGGTTGTGTTTTAATTCTGTTCGTGTAACCCTTTTCCTGACAGTTTTCTCAAATTAGTGCAATTGGATTAGTATGGATTGATTAGCACCTGTGACAGACATAGTGTGGAATGACTTAAGAACTGACCGGCTTTCTGACTTAGGCCCACACAGAGCAAACCAGAAGTAAATGACACAGGAGATAGAGAGATTTAGCACTGGTATATGTGCATATCAAATGGAAGCCACAGTTAACTTCCTTAAAAGCAAAGATAGTGGTCAGTGGTGCTACAAAGTGCTGGCCATGCCTGCAATCCCAGCTGCTCAGGGTGTAGAGATAGGATGATTGTGGTGGAGGCTGACCAGGCAAAAAGTACAAAGCTGTCTCAGAAGATGAAAGGACTGGGGCCGGCCCTGAGTTCCATCCCCAAGTATCATTCACTTTCAGGAACCTCGCAGTGCATATTTTGGGGGTTGGCATAAAGTAGCCCTCAATGAAAAGCTTGTTGAATTAATGTACAGCATGAATGTGATACATTTTCATTAATATCAGTTTTTGGTTTTTGATTTTCTTTTTTTTGGTGATGGGGGGGCAGTACTCAGATTTCAACTCAGGGCTTTACACAGGCAGGCACGCTGCTGCTTGTGCCACACCCTCAGCCCTTTTTGCTCTGATTATTTTAGAGATAGGGTCTCACTTTTTGTCCAGGCCTAACTGGACCACAATCATCCTATTTTAAGCTTCAGGTTATTGCTGGGATGGCAGGTGCATGGTACCACACCCAGCTTTTTTCCATTGACATGGGGTCTCACAAACATTTTTTAGTCCTCACTGTCCTAGAACTGAGATCCTTCTAATCTCAGCCTCCAACATAGTTTGGGATGATAGTCATGGACCACTGTCTCCAGCTGTTGGTTGAGATAGAGTCTCGTGAAGTTTTGCCTGGGCTGATCTTGAACTATGATCTTCCTGATTTCAGCCTCCCAAATAACTTAGGATGCCAGGTGTGTGCCACCACACCTAGCTGTTGATGGAGAATGGGATCTCACGAACTTTTGCCTAGGCTGGCCTCAAACTGCAGTCCTCCTGATCTCAGCCTCCCAAGTAGCTAAGATTGCAGGCATGAGCCACTAGCACTGACTCCGGTTTTGAGTTTTAAAACAGTTTCAGCTGGGCTCAGTGGTGCATGCCTGTCAGCTACTCTGATTATAGCCTGGAGCCACCACATCCAGCTCTAGTGTCACTTATTTTAATGGACTATGTTATGCTGAAGGCAGAAATTGGAAAGATCACAGTTCAAAGCCAGCCCAGGCAAAAAAGTTGCAAGACCCCATCTCAACCAATAAAAGCTGGGTGTTGTGGCGTGCACCTGTCATCCCAGCTATGTGGAAAGGGTAAATAGGATGATCACAGTCCCAGCCAGCCTGGGTATAAGTGCAACATCCCATCCCAAAATAACAGTCAAAAAGGGCTGGGGCCATATATGGCTCAAGTGGTAGAGTGCCTGCCTAGCAAGGGCAAGGCTCTGAGTTCAAACCCCAGTACTGTAAAAAAGAAAATAAAAAACCTCAAAAATGAACAGAGTCTTGTTATGTAGCCTCGGCTGGCTTTGAACTCATGATCTTCCTGTCTCAGCCTTCCTAGTGCTGAGATTATAGCCTGGAGCCACCACATCCAGCTCTAGTGTCACTTATTTTAATGGACTATGTTATGCTGTACAAATTTGAATACTTTTCTTTATATTGTTGAAAAACACAGCTCTCTCATTTATAAACTTCCAAACTTGTATTTCTTATAATTCAGCAACATGCAACTTAATTTTTAATATCTGATTTAATATTTTCTGCATGGTAGGAGGAATTCCGGTTACATTTCAAGAATATCTCCCGAATTATGGACTGCGTTGGGTGTGACAAGTGCAGATTATGGGGGAAACTACAGGTATGTGAATCTTTATTAATATTAACCTTAAGTCTTCCCACTGAGTTCAAGATTTTTATTTAAAAAAAGTCCTCATTGTTTATTGAATCAGAGTTTAGAAACAGGCAGATCCAGGATTTGAGGTGTAGCTCAAGTGGCAGTCCACGACCCTGAGTTCCAGCCCTAGTGCTGCAAAAAAAGAAAAGAAATAGGCATATCCAAAGTGTGATTTTTTTTTTCTGTTTTATTGATGAAAAGGTAAATATTACTAAACATGTTATATGTGAGCATTTCTTTATATTCTATGTTAATGATTTTAGTTTTATTATATCTTGGTACAATCTCAGATTCATTTCTGAAGTCAAATTTTATATATGTAAGGCAAGTGCCGGTGGCTCACACCTATAATTCTAGTTATCTGGGAGGCTGAGATCAGGAGGATCAAGGTTTGATGCCAGGCCAGGCAAAATAGTTCGTGAGACCCCATCTTTAAAATAACCGTGGATGGAGGCATGGTTCAATCAGTAGAGCACCTGCTTTGCAAATGTGAAGCTCTGAGTTCAAAGCCCAATCCCACAAAAAAAAAAAAAAAAGAATTTTATCTATGTATGTAAAAGGTAAAATCTAATTATATATATAAATCTTAGATATCACATGTTGGTCCCTGAGCAGCCTTAAAGAGAAGGTCATCTAGTCACAAGACACAACAGTTCTTGAGGACAGGCTCATTACACTGAGTGTTCAGTGTAAGAATTGTTTAATGGGGTGTTCTTTTTGGTTTGGTTTTTTTTTTTTTTTTTTGGCTGCACTGGGATTGAACTTTGCTAGGCAGGGCGCTCTCTACCACTTGAGCCACTCCACCAATCACTTAGAAAGAAAATAAGAATTTCCTTACAAAGATGATAATAATAAAATTATTATTTTTGTTTGTTTTTGAGGCATGGTCTTGCTGTGTAGCCCAGACTAGCCTGGAATTCTCCATCCTTCTGCTTCTACCTCCTTAATGCTGGGATGACAGTCATGTGACCCCATCCCCCAGACAGAATTATTTTAATGGAGTTTATGCTAAAATTAAAATGGAGAGATTATTAAGTGCGGTTATCTCTAACAGTCTCTGAGTTTTTAATTGCTGGGGCTGAGGGTATATCTCAATGCTAGAGCACTTGCCTACCACCCCTGAGACCTGGGTTCAATCCCAAACACTGCAAAAAAACAACAAAACTTTCAAGATTACAAATGGAACATTGTAGTCCTGCTGTGATACTTTTAAGGTTAAAAACAAATATTTTAGTAATTTGGAATAGTCTGAGTCCAACAAGGAGAGACTGTTGAGGTTTCCTTCAGAGCCTTGCTGACTGTGTTTTGTGCATAACCTGTAAGGGAAATGGATTTAACCTTGTGGGGAGGAGCTCAGTTCATGTGAGTTTCCTGACCAGCATCACAGTGGCTGAGCAGTCCTTTAAGTCTCTATGGTAGCAATTATCATAGAATGTTCTTAATTGTAAGTTTACCAATGTCTCCTTTAGACTCAGGGCTTAGGAACTGCCTTGAAGATACTATTCTCTGAAAAAGAAATCCAAAAGCTTCCGGAGAACAGTCCATCTAAAGGCTTCCAGCTTACTCGGCAGGAAATAGTTGCTCTTTTAAATGCTTTCGGAAGGTAAGAACCATCTGCACAACGATGAATTAACTCCTGAAGGTTTCAAAAGAGTGCGAAGATCATCTTGTCTGCTAAACTGGTTTGGTTTGTAGACAAAAAGATAAAATTATGCAGGACCTCCTGGTACCAACCTGTAATCCTAGTTCCCAGCACCCTGGAGGCTGAGGCAGGAGGACCTTGAGTTGGAGAACAGCCTTGGCTAGATAGTGAGACCCTGTCTTTGAAAAAATGATAAAATTATTATGTTACACCTGTACTCACTTTGCTTAGAGTGGTCTCAAGGCTAGAAAGTCAGTTTCTTTGTAGGTCATAGGAAAAATACATTTCTGGTTGCCAGTATTTCTCGATTTGCCTCCTCAATTTTGTGAAAAATATTCTAGTAGTCTTCTGGCTGCACCTCATTCAGTACATTAGTAGGAGTAAGGAAAACGTGGTCAAGAATGTGATCAAAGAACTGAGGCCAATAGGAAAAGGGGACCAGGAACTAGAGAAAAGGTTAGATCAAAAAGAATTAACCTAGAAGGTAACACCCACGCATAAGAAATTAATGTGAGTCAACTCCCTGTACGGCTATCCTTATCTCAACCAGCAAAAACCCTTGTTCTTTCCTATTATTGCTTATACTCTCTCTACAACAAAATTAGAGATAAGGGCAAAATAGTTTCTGCTGGGTATTGAGGGGGTGGGGAGGAGAGGGAGGGGGCGGAGTGGGTGGTAAGGGAGGGGGTGGGGGCAGGGGGGAGAAATGACCCAAGCCTTGTATGCACATATGAATAATAAAACAATAAAAACAAAACAAAAAAATGTGATCAAAGAAAGAAACGAAGCCCCTCAAATGCTGTGTTGTGTGAGCTGAGGAGTCCTTTCCTTCATTTTACCCCCATTTCTTTCTGGTTACACACATGTAGTTTGCTTATACCACAGATGGTTTCGGAAATCATTTGAATCTGCCTGCACAAGTACATGCAGTGCCAGCTGACCAGAGAATACAGAACAGAGGGCAAGAAATAACACTGCTGCCTTGGAGAATCAGGGCAGAAAGTCAGATCAGAGGTCTATAACAAGGACCAAGTGATACCGTGTTAATATGCCTTGTAAATTAGAAGCAGTTAACTTAAAAATAGGCTAATTAGGGAGGGGAGAGAAATGACCCAAACACTGTATGCACATATGAATAAAAATAATAAATAAATAAATAAAAATAGTCTAATTATACCATTTCCATCTTCCCTGAATTTAAAGATGATTGTGTAAGTTGAAATTTGAAACAGAAGATTCTATTTCATGACAAAGTCCACGCACTTAGGAGGCCTGTAGAAAGGGAGGTAATAGAGGAAACTGAATGAAATGTAAATTATTTTAAATGGAGCTGGAATGAAAAAAGAGTTTAACTAATTTAAACATATATTAAGTACAAATATTAAACTGAGAAGAATTAACCGAACATTTCATCAGAATTTCTGTATCTCAGCAGCACATCCTCATAGCTTAGGTTCTCTATCTCGAGCGGTTCCCCGTGCTGCTGCCTAGAGAGGGTGGAACCTCCTTGCTGCTTGGATCCTACCCATGATCCTACCCATGGTTCCCTACCTGGGAAAATACTTGGTTTATTTGAGCCTAAATACTTATGTACTATGTAAAACCAGGGCTCCCTCCTTCTTTCTAGCGTATTTTTAATGTCTGTTGAGCTCAGAACATCTCCGACCAAATCCTAAGCTCTCAATAAAAGGTAACTTTTCAAATTGCTTGATACTGCGTATCACATCACTCTGGGTTGGAGCAGAGAAACATTGGACTTTTATCACCCCAGAACTGTACATAAGGAGAACTGAGCCTATGTAATTTATGTGTGAACTCGTGCTTCGCATCCCAGAGTTTTACATCTGGGCCTGGGCTGTGGAGCTGTTTGTTCAGTCAGTCAGTCAGTCAGTCAGTGCATCAGTGATTACTCACAGAACACCATAAATGAAGAAGCATGCCAGGAGCAGAGAGGGACTCCATAAGAGACAGTCTTTGCCTTCAAGGAGCCAGCAACATAAAGTAAATTAGTGTTTGGGGAGCAATGAGAGTGGGGTGGCCATGTGGAGAGGGGTGTATTAAGGCCATGTAAATGAGGGGCTTCCTTCCTTTGAATTACTCATCACTATTTCCACATTAATTTATAATTCATTGATACTAGGAAGTAACTAGCTTCCTTCGCCTCTCCTAAACCAAGACCAAAGAACCATAGCTCCATGTCTTGTCAGTTGTTAATAAGAAATTACAGTGTACTCATTTAAAAATGGAATCTTTGGTCTTCAGTGTTGCTTAGTTTTTAAATTTCGTATTTAAATCTTAGCCTAATATCAGTAATTTGAAATATGTACAATCACATTTGCTGTGTTTACTAACTTGTTTTTTCTTCCCCTTGTAGGCTTTCTACAAGTATAAGGGAGTTACAGAACTTTAAAGTTTTATTACAGCACATTAGGTAATGAAGGCTTTGTATGTCTACTTAGACATATGGTTACTGTGTGTAGCCCTTTAGTCTTGGACCTTCTGAAGAAGAGACTAACCTCCTAGGACTTCAAGAATTCTCAGCTCTTGAGAAGATTCAAATGTTCACTTGAATATTTATTATCCATAATAGATTATCAATGAGATATTTATAAATGAAGTATACGCTTTTAAAACATGTAAATTATACTAATTCTGTGTTTAATTTCATGTGTTTACTTCCATTAAATATTTTACTGTTTCACCTGTCAAACTTTAAATAACGGTCTCCATCCTAGTAACACTGTTCCCAGTCTGTTGTGGAAGAAGAGAGCGAGAGGACTGGTGTTACTTAGGGTTGATGTCAGTAACAGAAATGTATTGGTGATGTCATGCGTGTCCATTTGATGAATGGCAGCACAGGCTCCTCAAGATTCCCCAAAACTTGAAGCTCACTTTGGTTGCTTTTCATTTGAGATTTTCAGTTGCAGTTGCTGTTTTGGGTTTGGCCCAAAGGAACCGCATTGGTAAAAGTGAGTTAGTGCTTCCCCAGCTCCCTTCAGCCAGTTGATTGTGTGCGCTTGGCTGGCTCAAGAGCGTTTACCTAGAGCCTGAAGCTCACCTTCTTCTGACTTTGCCTCTTTGCTCCTCTCCTAATTGTACGCAGTTCCAGTGGCTTAGGAAATAACCTGTGTATTTATTTGATTATTATTAATAAAATTTGAATGAGATTATATATATATGCCAGTTGAAAACATATACAGAGAATTTGCTGTTTTAGAGTAACAGCATTTTTAGAGGGTTTAGTTTTGAACACAATCTATGCAATCCTGTACCTCTCCGTGTGATTTTTCCCTGGTGAGATGCTTCAGCAGGGGTCAAATCAGGCCTCTTCTAGGCTTCCTCTCCCCCCACCCCCTTTCCATCTTCAGTTCATCCTGTATCAGTGGTATTTTGTGTGACTCAGACCAACGGAGGACTCATTAGGTCCTAGACTGTCATTTTCTAAACCCAAGATTTAAAGTCTCAAAACAGTGTTTAAAATCTTAATTCTTTTAAAGGTGCCAGTGGATATAGTGAGATTAACTTGAAAGGTTTCATCTGTATGGAAGTATGCAGGTACAAAGTCTAGTGTTTCCTTAGACTTCCGTCTTTTCCCAAGTAAATAAGTGCTCTTAAACCCACATCTTATCCTGCCAGAATCTGAAATGTGGTTGTTGACAATTTCATGGTATCTTTTAAGTTGTAGTTAGTTGGCTCACCTCTTTTTTAAAAAATACCCATCCCATGGCTAGAAAAGGAAGGTCTCACTAGAGTTCTTTTCTCCTCTAACTTCTAACCCTTATAAACTTGGGGTTTTGTTGGTAGTGATGGTGGGTTTTGTAGGTTGAGTTTAAAATGCTGGCTTAATTGGAGCTTCCTGCAGTTTTTCTTTGCTTTCTTAGGGTTACAAGTGTTGTGGGGAGGGAGACCTTAAAGGCAAATAGTCTAAAAATTGGGAATCTACTAAGAATAATTATTGTTAACTTAGTGTTCGTTCAGAGTTAAAATGTGAAAAAAAATATTTATTTTTACTGTAAGTTCACTTCATTGTTCCTGCAGTTAAATAGTTAACTATTTAACTAGTTAAATAGTTTAAACTGTTAACTATTTAACTAGTTAAATAGTTTAAACTATTTACTAGGAAAAAAATCTTTTGTCAATTCCATTTATTACCTTTTCTTTACTGTGATTTATCTCCAGCTAAGGAAAAACGGTGTATTTAGAGTATTCTAGGACATTAAAAGTCCACTTAGGGAAAAGTTCTTTTCAAGGCTTTAATGAACTTTTTCATTGCTAAGAAAGGAAATGAAGTATTTTTAAGCTGAAATGCATCTGGTTAACTATTTGACATAAATTAGGTTGTGGGTGGTCTCTCCACTTGCGTACCCATGTTTCTAACAATTGCAATTGTGTAGACTGGAGGAGCCTGTTTTGTGAGCCTAGTGATGTGTTCTCCAGTTCACTTACCTTTAGCTTGTGGTGATACTGGAACTGTCTGCATTTGTGGGAATGTGTGGCTGATGAGCACCTCTTGGCATTTTGTCTGAATCCATCACCTGATTTAAAAATCCAGCACTTGACAATGTAACTGATAGAAACGATTGCACTAGCTGATGAAGTGATGAACTTGAAGAAGGGAAATTTCTTTCCTTCAATGGCATGTGTTTGTTTTTCTCTTTAGTGGGATCTATGTAAAGTAGACATCTGTATTAAAATTGGTAAACTTTCAGTGCTTCTCCTGTTTTGATTCTTGACAGAGTAACAGATTTGAATCAAGTGTTTGGACACTGAATGTTATGCGTAACTCAGTTTTGTAATCCTGTGCGTATGAAACAACCTGCCGTCTGTTTAACTCTGCCTAGGTACCATTGTATGTGAGGAAGGACAGCTGTCTTGGTGCTCATCAGCCTTGCCTTCAGCTGGAAACGTGAACAGCTCACAGTAACCCTCCCAGTTCACACACCAAAGTTTCTACAAAAGCCTAGCTAGTCACCAAAGACACAGATCAGGTGTGGGTGTCATGACATTCCTTGGTACAAAACCCAGCACATAAATCCACATGTCTATTTTAAGCAACATCTCTGGTGCAGCTTTGATTCTGGACAGAATCTCAAACAATTTGCTGTTGTACCCACCAGATTCTTGAAAATGCAAATTAAAGTACATGTTTCTGCGGTCTTTTCTGTCTCGTTTTTTCCCCCCCCTATTTCAAGTTATGTTTTTATGGAATGAGGACTTGATTATAATCTGTGGAGCAGGGAGAAAATACACTGATAAGGTAGCGTGAGGTAGTCTCTCCGTCTGCTCATATTGGCGAGCACTGGCAGGCCCGGGGTAAAGGCTTTATCTGCATCGTTTCATCTTCACAAGAGCTGTAGGAGGGAGTTGCAACTGTGTTATACACCAAGGAAGTGGAGTAGAAAAGGCTCAGTAACTTGTATGTATTCACAAATTCAAGGTTATGGAGCCAGAGCCTGAGGCCTGAAAATCTGACTTCAGAGCTGTTACTCGTCGTGTGGTCGGTTTGTGTCGTTTCATAGGTTGGTTGGTGGATTACCATTCAACCAAAAAGTACTTTCACATCTTTTCATTTGTATTGGGTCAAATGCCTTTTTAATATGCTTGTTTTATTTAAGTTGTTGAGCAGGTGCTACATGAACAACCTGGCCTGTCTTCCCACGGTGCATATCCCTCCATCCATCTCCTCTGTGGTTTCCATCCGTACTTTTTGAACGTGAAAACATTCACAAATGTAAAGTCTTATTTTTCTCTCGTTTTTACTCAAAATGACATCGTATACAGACTGTTTGCTTCTTTTACATAGTATTTCTTGGTGGCTTTCACGTTCCACCAGACATCGTGGTCATCTGCTCAGTGACTGCCTGGACTCCGTTGTAGTGATAAGCCCTCGTTTTATCACCAGCCCCTACTCTATCCACAGGCATCTGGGTTGAGTGCAGGTCTTGTACATGCATCATCTCACGTTTGTGTTTATATGTTTGTAAAATACCCCAAAACAGAATTTGGGGGTCAAAGGTCATGTGCATCTGTAACCTTGAAAGATACTGACTGGTATGCTGTCCTCCAGAGGGGGACATATCAGTTCACATGCCATCTGAAACTTACAACAACCTCATCGTCAGATGTTATACAAATGTTGAATTTAGACCACTCTGATAGATGAAAAAACTATCGAGTCTTTAGTTTATATTCTTACCATAAGTCAGGCTGGCCAAGTGTTAATCATTTGTACCTGCTTTTGTGTCTGTCCCTTTAAGTTCCAGGAGTGCTCAGTACAAACGCGCACTGAGCTGCATGTTTCCCGCTCGCTCCTGTCGCTTGGCTTACTTACGATGGTTTTGCCACACAATTTTCTTTGTATGGTCTTTTTTTTTTTTTGGTGGTTTCTGGATTTTGAGTCTTAGTTAAAATGCCTTCCTGAATCCAGACCAATAGTGATTTATCAGTATTTTCTTCTATAACTCTTTTAAATACAGTCAATTTGATTCTTTGGAATGTATCCCAGTAGGAGATGTAGGCTAGAGGTCCAGCCTAATTTTTTTCTCAGATGATTACCCAGTCGTCCCAGTATCATGACCTAAACAGTTCATCTTTTCCTCACTAACTTGAGACTACATTTACCATACCTAAAATCCCAGGTGGATTTTGCTCTATGATTGGGTTCCGCTTCAACTTCACTGGTCTATTTACACATGCACTAAATGTGCACTGATTGTGCAGGTTTTATTTTTTTAATAACTGGGGCCTTGGTTTTTCATTCCTTCCCTCCCCTTGTTTATATTATAGTCTTCCTACATGTTCTTGTTTGTTTGTTCTTAAGCTTTTAAAACTCCCTGAACACACAGCATGCTGAAATGGAGTCGTTTCCTCTCGAGGGAAGCACTTTTAACCACCTATCACCACTTTCTGTGTTGTCATTCTAGTTTGACTTTTTACTTGCAAAGACTGTTTTAACTGCTTGGGTTAATTTCAGTATTCTATTTGCCAAGCAGATGATGGCAAACAGGAGTATGACACAGTGCCATGTGTCAGAATTTCATCTTATTAGTTCTGTTTTAAGACTTGGTCTCCAAGAATGATTTGAGGTATCATATAAAAATCCTTACTCCCTTTCTTACGAAGTTTGTCAAAAGTTGTGTATCTGTTAGATTTATAGGAGAAGCCCCTCAACGAGTGATAAGTTTGTAAAATCAATGCAGTGAGAAGAGTGCAAACCGCCTTTAAAAGTATCTACCTGAGTGAACAGGAGGTCACGCATTCATGCGCCAGTAGCCAGGGCGTGGCGGTGAACGAGACAACACCCCTGCCACCCACCCCACAGCTCCCCTCTACAACCTGACCACAGTATTCGCCATTTCTAGTGAGAAGACATCCAAAGGACATCTGCCACCTAGAAGCCCGTCTAGCACTGAAGGGCACACTGGCTTCACTGAACAATGTCCTGATGGCATGTGCCTCCCTGTGGCCAGCCTCAGACACTGTCTGCAGACGTGAAGCCCAGCCTCGGGGCCATTGAGTTCACCCGGGAAACATCAAGGACGCTTAGTGACGCAGATTTGGTGGTCTTGGGAAGGCACCGTTTATCTAAGCATGTCCTTTTTATTTGACTAGCGCTTTCAAGGAGCACCAGACTTGAGAGCGCTGTGAGGTCTTGGGCAAAGGTCATGCCAACAGGAATCAACAGAAAGGGAGGACTGTTGAGGATCACATAGGCTCAGGACAGCTCTGACTAGGCTACCGTTCAGAGGCGAGGAGATGAGGGAAGTCACATGAGGTCTGGACTGAAGGATTCACTGGCAAGGCACTAGTGGCAGAGGCCAGTGCTCGGGCCCCAGCTCCTGGGGTGAAAAGGCAGAAGAGAATCCAGGCCTGGTGGAAGCAGATGGACACCACCCAGAGCTGCCGAATCCTGCATTTGGATCCGAGGATGAGCTTGCGCCTGGCGACCTGGGAAGCCCATCTCAGAATTCTACCCTGAGCAAACGCAGCCCCAGAGGACAAGGACTAAGGTACAGCGGTCTAAGACTGATCTAGACTAGGTACAGCGACACTGCAGCAGACATGGGGTGTTCTGCCCTTTGCCACAGGGGTTCTCATTGTCCTTGCAAGGGCTAAGAGCAGGGTTAATGTGTGGGTATTCCTGAATTTAGAAACTGGACGGTGCCAAGTCCAGGGCAGCTCGGCAGACACTGGACGTCCCTCCCTTGAACTATCATTTTTAGCCAGGCCTTTCCTCACATTAACTGGCTTATGATTTGTCTTCGATGAGAATGCCACTGCTTTCGCCTGCTCCCTCACAGTGGCTCCTCCAGCTGCGTCCATAGGAAATCGATCATACGCACAGTCAGAAATGTTTTTAATGAAACTCTCACATAGGATAAAAAAGAGAAACGCGTATTAGATATGCGCCTATGCCAGTCTACACTTCATGATGCAGCAACCTAAAGTGAAAGCAGGATTTAAAAAAAAAAAAAAAAGGTTTACTTAGTTGGGAATCTTGATAAAGTCCCAGGTACTTAGGCCCATTTAAGTTGGTCTATTAAAAAATAAAAGAGCAGGGGCCTGGGTGTGACTCAGTGTTAGAACACTTACCTAGTATGTACAAGGTGCTGGGTTCGATTCCCAGTACCCCCTCCAAACAAAAGTGCAATTTTCTAGTAATATTCACCAAGTAGACAGGCGAATCACTTGCTCAGGTGCTTCTGAAGCCCATGGTAGTAGCAGAGCAAGTGCATGAGGAGGCCCACAGTCGCCCTCGGCTCCTCACAGGTGTGCATGCTTGTCCACTATGGGACTATGTTCTGGTGTGGGTTGACAAGACTGTTTTAGCATTACTTTTAAGAGGTGGGGGAAGAACAGGCACTCAGAACACTTTATCCTTTCCAACCAAAAGTAACAGTGGACAAGTTCTAGGAGCTTCATCAAAAGTGAGGGTGGCTTCTTTCAGTTAACACTGGACATTTTCACGTTCCTGCTAGCTAGTAACCGCAGAGCTACCAAGCAGTGCTGACATACTGTAGGACGACGTTTTTGTGATTTTAATGGTGCTGCACTTTGAAACTATCCCTGCCCTGAAGGATGTGGGACTTTCTGTAGAAACTTAAGAATTCAGAAGCTGCAGCCATGAGGTTCATCGCCTGAGTCCTCACAGAGCCACACGGTGTGACAGGCTTTCTAACAGTTTAACCTGATAATCAGCGCAGGTCTGTTCCAGTGCAGGATAATCCATGGCAGACAACCAGCTAAACGACTGCCCCAGACTGTGCACATACTGAAAGGCAAGATGTGGTAAAAGATCCTACACAAGTGAAAAGCCCCATCAGAACCCGTTTGAAACTTGAGATCCCAATTTCAAACAAAACATCAAAACAGAAGTGGCTCCAGTGGCTCACGCCTCTAATCCTAGCTACTCAGAAGACAGAGATCAGGAGGATCAAGGTTCGAAGCCAGCCCAGACAAAACAGTTTGAGAGACCCTCTCTCAAAAAAAAAAAAAAAAATCACAAAAAGGGACTGGTGGAGTGGTTCAAGGTGTAGGCCCCGAGTTCAAATCCAAGTACTGCAAAAAAAAAAATTTGAAGCAGACTCATCATTTGTGAAGTTCATGCAGGGAGATTAGTTGTTGCTGACCTCCACAGGTCCTTCTCACCTGCCCATCCCAAACTGTGACTCTGAGGGGTGCAGAATGACCCTTTGTGTCTGGTAATGGCACTTCCTCCAGAACCAGATCTGTTTTGTGAAAATCAGAGTTCAGCCTCTGATGGGCAGAGCTTTACAGCTCCAGAGTACACAGTGGTGGTTCTAGGACAGAGCAGTGGTCAGAGCAGTTGTGTTTCACATCACGTTTGTCACTTAGTTGTTTTATGCTGCCTTTCATCTACCTGGACCATGCCTTCCTGGCTGAGACAGGTGCGTTACAGTCCAGTGCCACAGCACTTCAAACAGGCAACCTCCAAGAGGCTGTTCAGAGCCTTGGTTGTAGATTACAAAAAAACCCATCAGGATGCCCATCTTTTTGCTCAAGGGGCAGATGAGAATTCATTATTAATGCCCTTGACTGTAGTGAGCATCAGCTGAGCTAGGAAAGGGGTGGTCTTGCCATAGTTACACTGGGCTGAAGAAAGCAAAATCACTGTAAGCATGGTAGACAAGGTTTAATAGTGTAAGTCAGCTACATTTTAACAGCATCAGCTTGTTATCACTGCAGTGTACACAGCAGTGCCCTGATGGAGGAAGTACCAGACTTGGCAAAATTTAAGAAAAAAAAACACTATTACCTTATAGACTTGATAAAAGTTAACATAAAACGGAATATCAACACTGGAGTCGCAGTTAACTTTCTAGATGTCAAGTGCACTTTTAGGAGTCTAACAGTGTGAAACTCAGGATCTTAATGACCTTCGGTGACCTTCAGAGGTAAGGATTTGAGGAATACTTTAGTCCAAAAGCCTTAAACCGTTAGACCTCATATTCTATACTTTTAAAGTGAATTATGCATAAAAATCTCTGCAAACTACGCTGTATGTTACAATAACATCCTCAAGAAAAACCCTAGGATACGTTAGCATTATTAAGTTATATAAAATACTTCTTTATAAAAGTACAGATTTTCTTTAAAAAGTTTAAATTATACCCACTGAAACAGCCAGGCTCGATTATTAGTACTAAAATAAAGGTTCTTCCAATCTAAATTATTGCTTAGTCCTATGGAGCCATTAGAAACCTGTAAGAAATGAAAGTCCTATTTCTTAAGGAAAAGTGCCCTTAAAACTCAGCTGTCGCTCAGTCCGTTGGTCTGAAGCTTCTCACCTGAAGAATCTTCTGTAAAACTGTTGGCCTTGGCTACCCGTGGCTGGGTTTGTCAGGATCCAGAGTCACATCTGCTGGCAGAGTTTCTGCTTGTGCCAGGAAGCTGTGGCCTTGTTGACCCCAATCATAGTAGTCTGGAGCAAAACTTGAAAAGAAAACCATACTTCAGTAGCTTGAGACACACCGCGTTTGTACATGTCTAGGTTAGCTTAGATGAGCCCAAGTTCTGTCGCGGGCTCCTTGAAGCCATTGTCTCCCGGAGTGGTGCCATGCACTGTGCTGCCAGCACAACTCTTTGTAGAGCCACAAGTCAGGAATTAAGAGACCCTGCAGCCAGTCCCTGTGTCTGAGGCCTCACTCGGAGTGCAGCTCATTACCTAGGTTACTTCTGACAACCCTGGCCCCTCAATTTTCTCATTGGGTTGTGGTGAGGACTAAATCAAGTAAACACACAGTGCTCAGTCACCTTTCTTCTCCCCAGGGTAGGGGCTGCTTCAGCAGGGGGCCTGAAGGGGCAAAGATGGCCAGCAGGAAACACAGCGAGGGAGGTGGATGAGAGAAGCAGGGATGAGGTGGCGCTCAAGTTGAGTGACCTAAAGGATAAATTATTTTTGGGTGGGGCTTGAACTCAGGGCTTCACTCTTGCAAAGCAGGCGCCCTACCACATGAGCCACACCGCCAGTCCATTTTGGTCTGGTTATTTTGAAGATGGGATCTCTTGCACCATTTTCCCAGGCTGGCCTCGAACCATGATCCTCCAGATCTCAGCCTCCTTAGTAGGAAGGCTTAAGCCATCAGCACCTGGCTCTGAAGGACAACTTTTGACTTAGAAGCCCTGACATTCTCTTTACCTGCTTTCCTCTCCTGCCACCATCTTCTGTCTGACAAGGATTTCCCTCCTCCCAACCCAGTTCTCCCTGCCTTTCTTTAGCAACCCTGTTCCCCAAACAAGGACTCTGTTCAGAGCTCTTTTACAGCTTTCACTGTTAGAAATAAAGAGCGAAAAAAAAGAGCAAGCATTGCTTTTATCATCTCATCCCCGAAGAAGAAAAATTTACACTGAAAAGTTAATGGTAAGTCTTCAGATTCACAAAGGATTGTGTAAAACAAACACTCCCTTCTCCCCACAGCAGAATGGGGATCCTGGGATGAGGGACAGAGGGCTCAGCCAGCACTTCTGCTCCTCTGCCCTTCCAGTCCCAGACACGCAGGGTGAACAAGGGTGGTGAGGACCAGGAAGGGTATACATGCTGGGGCCCCTCTGCCAGACTGCAGGACTCCACTGCATCCCTTCCTGACACCCCAGAAGCTCAGTGAGGGCAGCTGGGAACAACCCGTTTATTCTCTCTCACTCACTCACTTTGAACTGGAGAGTATTTAACTGTCCTCTCCAAAATATTCTGGGCCACATCCAAACATGGATTTTCAAGAGAGGAGACACTCTGTTGTGCTTTCTGTAGTACTGGGGCCTTCACCTTGAGTCACTCCACCAGCCCTTTTTTTGTGTTAGGTATTTTTGAGATAGAATCTCACGAACTATTTGCCTGGCTGGCTTCGAACCTCGATCCTCCTGATCTCTTCCTCCTGAGTAGCTAGGATTACAGGCATGAGCCACTGGCACCAGCGAGGAGACAATTCTTACTAAAGCTCACATCAAAATCAACCTGAGCTCGGGTGCTCCCCGCTCTCCCCAGATCCGGAGAGGGAGCCTGAGTCAGCAGCCCATCAACCTCCACATGGCTGGGTCTGGGCTGAGACAGGAGGGTTTATGAGTGCTGGCCTCACAGGATCATAGGAAGCCTGTCTGGCTCGTAGTAGGTACTCAGAAGTGCTTATTAAATAAGCCCGTTCACTGAGATGGAATTTGCGTTACCATTTATTCTAACACGGAGCACCTCATGTGCTCTGGCTTTAGACACACTAGAGACATCTGCCTGGCTTTCCCAAATCACATTGCGTGGAGGGATTCATGGTCAAATGCTGAGAATCTGAGCATACGTTAGCATATATGTTACAGCTGAGAAATTCTGCAATCAAAAAGTTGATTTTCTTCACATGGCGTGGTGTTGAGGAAATGGGGTCCCATGGGTTCTGTTCAGGAAGCCCAACTATACACGGTAGTGTGGGGTTCGAGGCACGCCTCACTCCTGACCACGGCGCCCAGCCCTGTGACCTCCAGCAGCTATCTGTCTGGGGACATTTCCCTTCGGTCTAAATCAGCTGCAGGGTCTCTTCTTACCTTCCCTGAAGTCCCTGAGGTGCGATGTTCCAGGCAAGGTCATCGTCACTGTCGTATCTTCGAGGGTTGTCAAAGAAGTAAGACCTGGGACTGAATCCATGACTGGGGACCATTCCTGGGTTGGTCTAGAAAGACAGGGAACCAGTGGGCACGCTGCAGGACACCGCCTGGCCTCGTCTGGATGGACACTGCTGCTTTACCAGAGGGCTCGGCCTTCCCTTCCATCAGCAGGGACAAAAATCTGTCGTCTCAATTTCAACAACAAATCATTTTAATCCTCACTGAAAATGTCCCAGTTAGCCAAGCTAAAGGGGATAGCCCAATTTGGGTGTAAAGAAACAAATGACAAAGTCATCTGGGGAGGGTTTGTCTGCCCCCAAACTGAGTTCCCCCCAAAAACTTTCAAATGCACATTGCTGGAAGTCACCGTGGTGGCAAGCCTGTGCTGTGGGCCAGGCTGGGATCCCACTCCCGCCCCCAACCCAGCTCTGTCTTCTACCCTGGCTCAAAGTGACCATCCAGGGACACAAGGAAACATGACTAGCTGCACATCACCTGCTGGTGACACGGAGTGAGAGCTGCGGCTCGGCCGTGGCCTTTGTTCTACACTCAACTCATCACCCACACTGCTCGTAACGACAAACCCCACTAGCCACCTTTCTGTTCCTGCTTCTAGACGGGGACTCGCCCTACCACTGGGGTGGCTGGAGTGACTCGTGGAGCGAGGCTCCCGGGGGGCTTCCTCACACCACCTGGCTTTGCGGTTTCTGTCCTGCCTCCAGAAAGACACTTGTGGAAAGATGGCTGAGCAGAGATGGGGACCAGCCTGAGGGAGAGTCTTAGCACTCTCCCTGCCCTGTCCTGCCGCCCATTCGCCATCTCCCTCTGCAGAGCAGCTGTGCTTGGCATGCATCGAGTCGGGGCTCACACACCAGTCAGTCCCTGTCCCCAGGCCACGAGTTGCACTGCGCTGGCATTTCTTTTGCGAAATGAAGCTAAATGGAACATTTCTCTGGAAAGATATTTAAGGGAAGACAAAGTCCCGTGTGTACTCACGAGGTCCTTTGCAGGGCTTCGAACTCGGAAAAAATAAACTACCAAGGTGGTGGGTAAGAGCTCCCACACGAACAGCACCACCCCGAAAACTACATAGCCAGCGTCGCCCAGCTGATTCTTCAGATCTGCCTGTTAGCGGGAGAAAAGGAGTCACTACACCAAGGCCAGTTATTTCTCAAGTAGGAACTCCACTTTTGCCTGGCCCAGCCTCCAATAGCAAACCTCCTACCTCTGCCTCCCAGCAGCTGGGATTATAACAATGCACCACCACACCTGGCTTGTTCTTTGAAATAGAGTCTTATGAACTTTTTGCCCAGGCTGGCCTCCAACTGAGAGGTAGATGAATAACTGGGATTATAGGCATGAGCCACTATGCCTGACTAAAGATAAGTACTTCTTAACAAGAACTCCACAAGGTGGAAAAGGGAAGTGAGGTGTGTGCACATATGCACGTGATTTTCTCAGATGTGAGTGGGAACAAGGACGGTGCAGTGGTGCTACCTGGCCTGGGGGTTCAGATACGCCATGGGAAAATGCTTCTCAAGGGCACCCAGCTTATACCTCTGCCCCATGAAGTGCCACCAAGCAAATGGCCCCACCTCGGGGGGCCCCACTGACCTGGTCTGACACATTGTACCAATCGTAATCGAAGGAGTGCACACTCTTGATCTGAGAGAACGACAAGATGAGCAGGTTGTAGCAGGCCCGAGAGGTGTAAAGCAGGATGACAGTGACCCCGATGGCAGTCACTTGACAAACAGAGGAGCCCTGGAAAAGAAAGTCCACAGGGTGGGCCACTCCAGGTCCAGGATACCAGCCCCTTCCCTGCCCCTCCCCTGATGTCACCTAGTAAGCCCTTGGGATTCAGTGACACTGCAGGCTCGCCAGGTCTTGTTAGAACCCAGAGCACACCCGTGGGCCTCGCTGCATACACACCCTTCCTCAGGTGCCACCTGCCCTCAGGTAAGAAGACCTCAGACTGGGCTTGGAGATGCCGTTAACAGGGTAAAGCTGGCCCTGTGCCCAGGGCTGAGATTTCAAGCGCAAGAGAGTCAGAGAGCTTATTTTTTAAAACTAACTGCTCTCTGGGCTGGCAGGCAAAGCAGGTGAGCTCAGGTGAGGGCCTGTGACTTAGGGGCCACACACAGCCTGGGAGGGACAGAGGCTGTCTGCATCAGGGAGCTAGGTGTGAGCCCTTCCTCACACCACTGCCTTCTAAGCTGGGAGTTCGGGAGCCCTGGTGGGACTCGGGGTGGGGTCGTGGGAATCTGTGATGCTTGCCCCACCTTGTGAAGCTGAAGTCAGTTAAAGGACCCCTGGCTAGAAAGGACAGTTCACATCTCAAGAGAGCCAAAGCTTGCTTTTGAGTTTTGCGTTTGGGAGTCCTTGGCATCGCTGGCAGTTCTGTGTGAACTAAATGCTATCTTGACAAACCATGCTTTAATCCCTCCTGCTCAAAACTAGTTTTTAAAAAAATCCTCAAATAGACCCTGTGTGGGAGATAACAAAGTTAAGGCCAAGTCAAGTCTAAAATCCATCAGAATTTACGAAAGACAGAACTCTGTCCCCCCAACTTTAACGGGGGGTGGGGGAGGATTTCAGCTATGCCACAGGATGCCCTGGGAAGGCTTCAGTCTGAAGACAGAGGTCAGATTTTAATCTCCTGGTCACTTCTGAAGTCACGGTGTTGTGGGAGACTGGTGCCCTGCAATCTTCACACCAAAGGCGTGTTAGGGCCAGGTGACGGAGGTGTACAGCAGACCAACCGTGGGGAAGTCACCTGGTCTCTTCACATGAGGCGAGGGCCAGAGCAGTGCGGTGACAGGAGGTTACTCAGCCAGTAAGGGCCCCAGCACCACTCCCAGGCCCCTGCTGCTCACCAGGCTCTGTCGGGGAGGGAGATTCGGGGGATCAGGCTGCCCAGAGCACTTTGGTACTGGGCCTATTTTTCTTATTTACCCTCAGGGGACAGGAAAGGAGCAAACAAGAGAGTGAGGCCACCAGACGCAGCCGTGGAAGAAAGGAACAGGCAGGTGCTTCCCTCCTGATCGCATCTGCTGGGTCTGAGCAGCCCGTGGGGGAGGCTTGTTCTCCTACCTGCAGAGCGGCTCAGGAGAGGCTGCTGAAGAGCACAGCCATCCACCAAGGTGAACCTGAACCCGAGCCTTGGTGGCAACAAAGCAGATGATCCAGGCTACAGACCCTGATCCTAAACGGCTCTGCACCGACTAGCAACGTGACCTGGACAAGCTTCTTGACCTCTCTGTGCCTGCCTCAGTTTCCTTATCCATAAAGTGGGGATGGCTGTGCTGCCTATTTCCTCAAACTGTGGGGACCACACCAGCTCACACCCACACCAAGCCATCAAGGGGCAGGGGCCACACGCAGCATGGAGGAACGTGTTCACTAGTAGCATTGGTGCAATCAGCCCCGGCAGTCCTTTAAACGTGCTTGAAGAACTGCAGCTCTAAACCAGACCGACTTCCGGCCCGGGGTTCTGTACCCGCCACCCTCATTGACCACGAGGAACGGAACGCCTCCTGCGTACGAAGTTCAGTGAGCGACACACCCGGGTTCCAGCCACCACGGTACGGTTAATCATTGGCGAGGCAGAAAGGTGTGAAAAAGACTGGTTGTGTCCTGTTTGCAAACCAGAAAGTATTTTTAGAACAAGCATCACAGGTGGGACCTGGACTGCCATCGCCACCGCACCTTAGACTCCAAGTAGATATTGGCTAAGGACATCTTAGAGATTTTGTAGAGACAGACGGACAGCGAGACGGCACACAGGACAAAGAGCGTGTCATTGATGGCCACTCGCACAGAGACGATCACCTTCCTCTCCCAGTTTCCCGTCTTCACCAGCACGGCACAGGTTAGATTCACCAACAGGAAAACCAGGCTGATGAAGAGAGAGGCCAAGTACAGGGGCAACCTGGAAGGGACAAGAGAGACATTTAAGGCAGCCATTCCTGCGTGCACATGCTGGGTGGCTCCAGAAGGAAGCCGAGGTACATTCTGGTTAACTGCTGGACACGAGAGCTTGAACCTTGTAGCAGATTCAAATTACAAACTGACCATGAATGGTGCCCTGCAGGGTCCTCCGTAAACTTTACGATCTCCAGGAGGTGGTGGCCTGAGTGACAGCTCACACGCGTTGGCTGGAAACACTGAGCACTGATATGAGGCCTCGTGTTGTGGTGGAGCATTTTGGATTTCTGGTTTTTGGGTTAGGGTTGCTCTTATGCAACTATCCCAAAATCAAAAACAAAAACCTTGAAACGTTTCTAGACCCAAGCACTTCAGTAAGGGACACTCAACTTGTATTCACACAACCTGTGTCTTCCTACGGTACAATTTTCTCCTGGTGAGCTTGAGGAACCTGTCATGACCCCCTGCACAGCCCAGCCTTTCCCTCACATCCTGCAGTGGCCCACAGAAAAAAGTTTTGGTAGGGGCAGAATACACCACAGGAAAAGGGTGTGTTTCCTTAAGACTTCTTTTGGGGGAGGTATTAGGATTTGAACTCAGGGCCTTATGCTTGCTAGGCAGATAGATGCTCTACCACTTGAGCCACTCCACCAGTCATTTTTGCTTTAGTTTTTTTTTTTTTTTGCAATGGGGTCTCACTGTTCTGCTCAGGTCAGCCTGGACCGTGACCCTTCCGTTTATGCTTCCTGCACAGCTGGGATGAAAGGCACGTTCCCACCCTACCCAGTTTTTTATTAGTTGAGATGAAGTCCCATGAACTTTTTGCCTGGGCTGGCCTCCAACCACAATTCTCCCCATCTCTACCTCCAAAATAATTAGGATTACAGACATGAGCCACCACACCCATAAAGAATGAAACTTCTGTACTTTATCCAAAACTACTTCTTTTCAACCCAAACCATACAGTCAGGATAAACAGCCCATCCTGGCAAAATGAGAGAAAGATGAAAGGGAGAGAATCAGGTGACCCTGCATCTAGAAGGCCCATTTTGCCGTGAGACCAGAAGCAGTAGTGTGGCAGGCCACAGAGCTGACAAGACTGTGTGGCGAGCCATCCCTCCTGAGTTGGCACAGAGAGGCGTGACTAACCACCTCAGCCAATGCTACCTCCTACTGGGAGGGAAAAGGAAAAATCGATGGGTTACAGTTGTTTAAATCCCTCTTCTAATATCAGAGATTTCTTAAAGCAAGGGCACTGCAAAGCTTGGCTCGAGATGTACGTATTTGACGTTCGTGCGAGCACTCCTTGCCCAGAGTTCACATCTCCTAAGCCAAAGAGCTGAAAAACTGCAGACCGAGAATGAGAAAAACCAAGACACACTGGCACCAACTCCAGCAAACTGAGTGAGCTGCTGTGTTAGGGAAAGGAGAACTTCAGGCAAAGAAAAGGGTGACTCTTGGCTGGCTTGAGTACCAGTTATCTTCAAAATGTAGAGGAGCTTTTGGGATGGCTTGGATGGGAAGTTCCAACTGGTTCTAGTCTCATGGCTAAGGCTTCACTTCACGAGTCCTGGTTGAATTTGGGAAGCCAGCCTGGTTAGGAGCCAACATACCAGAGCATCTCCAGGATAAACTGCGGCCTGAAATGTCTCCAGTGTCTAAGAGAAAGGGGGAATTACGCAGATGAGATGAAGGTGTGCCTCTATGCAAATGACTCCAGGACTCCTTTACACTTGGCAACTAAATTATTAAATCTAAGTTAACAGCTCCTTCCACTGAAACCTGCTTTAAGAAATCCCACCTCGTCTAGCCCAAACGCTCACCTTTAAACTCCAGATCCAGGTGTGCTTTTCTCCACCTTCTCCCTGCATCTCTGCAAACCCCCTCCCAATAAGATCAGGCATCAGTGTCTTCCTGGCCCCTGTCTGGAGTGTACTCTGCCCACACAGAGACATCTCTCCCAGAGACCCAGCCCAGTGGCTCAGAGTGCTTGTACAGTGACTTCCTCTCCACCAAAGCTCCCACGCTCCACCTCTAGGTGGCTCCTAACTGCCCAGCCTCCACCATTCCCAAGTGCAGTCAGTCCCCTGACCAGGGGGCTCTTCTTCCCCGACTCCTCACTCAGCCTTTGCTCAGGGCCCCTCAGCTACCTGCGTTTCTGGTTGAAGGGATGGAAGGCGAAGGGATGGAAGGCGAAGGTTGTGGGCGCAGCCTACAGCCATACTGAATCAGCCAATCAGCCCTGAATGCGTCTGATTGCGGAAGCTAAGCACGGTTGGGCCTGGTGAGTACTTGGGTGGGAAAGAGATCAGGAGTGCAAAGTTGTTACCAGAAAAGAGAGAGAACATTCTACTTGGACTCGCTACAGGGTGAGTAACCCTTATCCTAAATTCTTGGGATGGGGGTGTAGCTCAGGGGGAGAGCATTTGACTGTAAAATGCGTGGGACCACAAGTGTCTCGGGTTGGGATTTTTTTATTATCTGCATATACATAAAGAGATGTCTTAAGGATGGGACCCAAGTCTAAAAGAAAACACTCATTTATACACATGGCTCGAAGGTAATCTTACACAGTACTTTTAATGCACCTGAGGTTTGACTGTAACCCATCACCTGAGGTCAAATGTGAGGTCATTTGTGGCAAAAACTTTTGGTTTTGAGGCCATTTTGGATTTGGGATTTTTAGATTAGAGATATGTGCTAGCTTCTCCAGAGAAACTTCTTCCTTCTGCAGAGGCCCTTGTCCGCTCATGTGCATCTGCTTTATCCCCATCTCCTTCCTCCCTGGTTGGACATGCCATCATCTGAATATGAAACGGCCCCAGAGGCTTGTGGTTTGAGTGTCTGGTCCCTAGCTGGTGGCACTACTTTGGGCAATTCTGGAAACTTTGGGAAGTGGGAGCTGATTGGAGGAAGTAGGTCACCAGGGAAGGTCCTGGGGGTGTCTTGTTCCTAGCCCCTTCCTGTCCAACATGATGAGAGCTGCCCTTCTCCGCTCTGCCCTCCCCCCATGATGGACTGACACCTCTGAGACTCGGGGATGAAATCTGTCCCTCCTCCCTTCCTAAAGTTGTTTATGTCAGGGATTTTTGTCACAGTGACAAGAAAACCCTAATACAGGAGCTGGGTTCTTATTTCTAAACAGTCCCAATCCAATGGCCGACACCCATGGGTGATGGAGATGGTGCCTGCAGGCGATGGTCAGCAGCAGGACCATTTGGGAAGCAAAGCACTGCCCGGGAGCATGGTCACCTCCGTCACGAGAGCAAGGCCAGGGACTTACCGGTATTTCAGCAGTTCTGGAGAATATTTTGACTTGGCTTTGAAGATCACCTGCAATGACAGAAAAACATGGCAGGTCAGGGTTCACAGCGCTGAAACTCCCCTGGGCACTGGGGCGCCATGCTTCTTGAATCTCAGGTGCCACATTTTGTGAGAATGCTTGTCATACAAGTGTTTCTTAAGCTGCGCATATAATTCTAAAATTTAAAAGCAAATGAATATAAAAAGTAGTTAAAAAACAAGAGTAAAGAGAGTACCAATCTACTACTGCCGAGTACCTCTGCCATTTGGTAAGCAGTCCACTCTCTTTATTAAAGTATCTAACTGGCACCAAATCCATGTAGCTAGAATGTAAGTGCCATCCGCCCAGGCCTTTGCACTTGCAAAGCAGGCGCTCTACCGCGTGAGCCACACCACCAGTGCATTTTGCTCTGGTTATTTTGGAGGTGGGGATCTTGTACACTTTTTGCCAGGGCTGGCCTCAAAAAACTTCCATCCTCCTAATCAGCTAGGATTACAGGCGTGAGTCACTGGCACCCAGCTTTGCAGCACATTTAATATACCAAAATGTCGCTGGACAACAGAATATCAAACTACACTGTTTTCTTTCAGAGAAATATGGTAGATGGAAATTTCTAAGGGCTTCAGAAACCAGCACGATTGCCAAACTGCCAGTGCACGGTGGGTGTGGCTGATGGCTCGGTGGAGACGTGGGGAAGGTGAACAGGAGACAGAGAATCGGTTTCTACTGGTGCTCCAGCCCACGGGTGCGCGTGACTGCCTGTGCAGGGACATTCCAGCCAGGAGCTGGCGGGCCGGGTGAGCAGAAGCCTATGAGCTCTGTGTCGGCTGTCCCCGGTCCCTGCTGTTGAAAGGGTGTCAGGTGCACTGGGAGAAGGCAGGGCAGGATGGGAAGTGTGGAGGATGGAGGGTATCTCCTCAGAGATGATCCGACAAGGCTCCCAAGACCCATGTCCCAGTCCCAGTCCCAATCCCAGCAAGAGGAGGTCCCCGACCAGCAATTCTCCCTCCCCCTCCCAGCCCTGAAACCGCCCTTCTGCTTCCGTGTGTTTGACTTTTTAAGACTGTCCTCAGCACAAGGAGCGTGACCCAGAGAGGTTCTGGCTACACTGGTCTGAGCACAGGGAGCCGGCTTGTCCACCACGACTCAACCTCAGGCTGTGTACATCAGGACATCCCTGTTTTCCGCACCGGCTGTAGATGTAACTTGGGGGTCACTCGAGGACACAGGAGAGAATGGGTGATTGGGATCAACCTGTGGCTCCTATACAATCCCAGTTCACCCCCAGCCTTGCCACTGCCTAGTCTCTTTTGCCTAGGACCTATGGACCACCACCACACCGCCCAGAGCCATGCAGGTGCCACAGGCCACCGGTCCCTCTCGAAGTGTGGGCCACCTGCCAGCTAGCTCCTGAGAAATAAAACAAGAAATGTTCTTTGCTTCCTGCTGTTCCTGGCCCTGCGGCTCTGTCCACACACATTCTGTGGGAGACACATCAAGTAAGAGTCAGGTGGGACCCCCCCCCCCAAAAATCCCTCCCTGGAACTCAGCAAAGGACAGGTCTCTCTCAGCGATGGCCAGCAGGATTTGGTCCAGCACACAGCCTGACCACATTCCTATGCTTTTCCCCAACAATTCTGCCTGCAAAAACTTACTACAAGACAAAGCTCTGGGTTTCAATAACATCACGTGATCAAACAAGTTGAGAAACGGTCAGGAAAACGCTTTAATTTCCCCTGCAGGAATTCTCCAAGCTTCTGAAAGGCTAATGTGCTATCAAGCTTCAGGAGAATAAATGGTGTCTACACAGCGGTTTTCCAAAATGAGTCGGCTTCTTACAGGCTTCCTCATGCGTGTTTTGAGAACAGAGTTTGGGAAACGCTGCCCTGTGCAACTAGGTATGGATGTTTGAGACGTCACTGCAGCCTCAATGACAGTCACGGTAACAACGATGACAAGAATAACCTTCCCCCTGAAAGAGGCACGGGTCACACAGCTGGTGAGGAGAGGCCCACGGGCTTGTACCCACTTGAAGCAGGAGACAACTCACCAGCCCCACTCATGGCATCCTTAGGGCCTCCCCACTTCCCCGCCTAGGGGGGAGTTCACCACCAGATGCAGGCCAGGTCCGATGTTAAGATGTCATTTTGACCCTACCAGCCAAGAGTCACAGTCACAGGACCATCAAAATAAAGGACCCTGACCCTGGCTTTAAAGAGCTCCACCCACGCTGGGTAACCTGTGGCGAGTACACTTGATCCCAACTGGGCTTATCCAAACCGCACTTAGAAACGCTTCCTGCATCAGTCAAGTTCGTACGTGAACTTCGTGAACTTCAGTTCCTTAAAGCTGTACGAGAATTCCCAGCAACTGAAACTGAAATGACAAAGGAGAACCGATATTACAGAAACACACCTCAGTACCGTTTTGGCCTTCGTTAACTGAAGGGTGCAAACATGAACCAAGTTTTGGGAGTTTGTTTGCTTTTGTTTTGTTTTGTGAACCAAGTCTTTGAGAAAAGCACTGCATACCTCCCTGGCGACACCCATCTGTGCCCCAAGGGATACTATAAAGACTGATTAGTGCCTGGGCACTTGAGCTGACCTAGGCTACCTCCTGCCCTCTGGCCAGCCAGGCCAAAGGGAAGCTCTTATCTACTGCCCATCTCTGTCTGCCTGCTCTGGCTCCCACTGACCTCAGCAGGAACTGGCCTGGGAGGACAGAGGCTCCCCAGGGGAGGGAGAGAAGGTTCCACCACATCTTCATATTTCACAGTGCCGATGATAGTGGGGCACTCCCTGCTGGGTGCAAAACCAGACACCCGAAAATCTAAAGAAAGGGCTGGGTGCTGATGGCTCTCGCCGATAATCTCAGCTACGTGGGAGGCAGAGATGAGGAGGATCACAGTTCCAGGCCCCATCTCCAAAACAGCCAGGGCAAAATGCACTGGAGGTGTGGCTCAAGCCACAGAGCGCCTGCTTTGCAAGCGTGATGCTCTGAGTTCAAACCCCAGTCCCACCAAACAAATGAACAAGAAAACCGTAAAGGAGGAAGACACTGACCTTGTGACAGGCTGAGGAACAAATGAAGGTGGGAACAATTCAGATCATCCCCACTTTCACACTGGTGATGCTCAAGTCAGGTCAAAGGACACTGACCATCCAAATGCTGGGTTGGACTCAAGAATTTTGGAAAGTTGGGGGGGGTAAAGGAGGGGGCGGGGGAGGGGGAGAAATGACTCAAACATTGTATGCACATATGAAAAAAATAAAAATTAAAAAAAAAAAAAAAAAAAGAATTTTGGAAAGTAAGGACAAGCTGAGCCCTGACCTGGAGACACTCGGCCAGGCACGGCTGTAAGTAAGTACCAGTGGCTTGGGGAGCTCTGCACAGCCGTGGGGAGCCGTGGGGAGGTGTGGGAAGCTGTGGGAAACCATGGGGAGCCGTAGGGAGGTGTAGAGAGTTGAGTGGGGAGCCATGAAGCTGTGGGAAGCCGTGGGAAACTGTGGGGAGCCGTGGGGAGCAGTGGGGAGGTGAGGGGAGTTGTGGGGAGGTATGCAGAGGTATGGGGGGCTATGGAGAGTGGTGGGGAACCGTGGGGAGCTATGGGGAACTGTTGGAAGCTGTGGGGGGCCGTGGAGAGGTGAGGAGAGGTGTAAGGAGCTATGGAGGGTGGTGGGGAGCCGTGGGGAGGTGAGGGGAGGTATGAGGAGCTATGGAGGGTGGTGGGGAGCCGTGGGGAGGTGAGGGGAGTTGTGAGGAGCTACGGAGGGTGGTGGGGAGCCGTAGGGAGGTGAGGGGAGGTATGAGGAGCTACGGAGGGTGGTGGGGAGCCGTGGGGAGGTGAGGGGAGGTGTGAGGAGCTATGGAGGGTGGTGGGGAGCCGTGGGGAGGTGAGGGGAGGTGAGGAGCTATGGAGGGTGGTGGGGAGCTGTGGGGAGGTGAGGGGAGGTGTAAGGAGCTATGGAGGTGGTGGAGAGCTGTGGGGAGCAGTGGGAGGTGAGAGGTGTGGGGAGCTGTACAAAGCTGTGGGGAGGTATGCAGAGGTATGGGGAGCTATGGAGAGTGGTGGGGAACTGTGGGGAGCTGTGGGGAACATGAGGAACTGTGGGGAGCTATAGGGAACCATTGGAAGCTGTGGGGGGCCGTGGGGAGGTGAGGGGAGGTGTAAGGAGCTATGGGGGTGGTGGGGAGCCGTGGGGAGGTAAGGGGAGGTGTGGGGAGCTGTGAGGAGCATGAAGGCGCCATGGATCTGTGAAGAGGAGACTATGTCCTAATGACATCCAAGAGGCCTGGGGAGGGAGGTGCAGCCTGCAGAAAAGCCAGGCTGGCTGCAATGGGCAGGTCAGGGGCGTGGGGCCCAGGTGACAGAAGACCACTGAGGGTCATCAACGGAGAAGTAAGTGACAGAAATCAGCTCTGGGATTTGGAAGAAGACAGGGTGGGGACCAGGAGCAAAAGGCCTGCGATGCAATTGCTGGAGACCATGAAACAGATACATGTTAAAAGCAGTGACCAATTGTGGAAATGAGGTGACAGAAAAGGTCTGAAATCGACTGTGATGATGGCTTCACAACTGTGAATACGTTGTAAGCAAGGGGATCCTACGGAATTTGATTTATCCCCCAAAAAAGCTGATTGTTTTAAAAAGGAGTAGGGGGTGGTCAGGGAGCAGCCCCTCAGCAGTCAGGGTCTCCATTGCAGGGGTCTCTGCTGGGTGGAGGATGATCTGTGGGAGGTGACATGATAAATTCTGAGGGGCCACCTGGAGGCAGGAGGCTTGAGAGGAACCACGGGCCACAGGCAGAAGGAAGAGGAGTTCTGAGTCGATTCCACACACAGCCACTCTTTAAAACCTCGTGCTAGTGACAGGCAAGACAGAGGTCGTTCAAGAGCACAAGACCCTTGTTTCTAAGACTGGGAGACCGGCGAGGGCAGAGGCAGGGCGGCAGAGAGTGTACTCAGGATGGAACTGAGCATGTAGCAGACCACAGGCAGGGAAACTGAGGCAGCAGGGGGCAGGCAGGAG